AGGTGAGGCTGTGGGTGGAGAGGACCAGCAGGGTGGGTGGGGTGGAGAAGACCAGCAGGGTGAGGCTGTGGGTGGAGAGGACCCAGCAGGGGTGAGGCTGTGGGTGGAGAGGACCCAGCTGGGTGAGGCTGTGGGTGGAGAGGACCCAGCAGGGTGAGGCTGTGGGTGGAGAGGACCCGGCAGGGGTGAGGCTGTGGGTGGTGAGGACCCGGCAGGGGTGAGGCTGTGGGTGGAGAGGACCCGGCAGGGGTGAGGCTGTGGGTGGAGAGGACCCAGCTGGGTGAGGCTGTGGGTGGAGAGGACCCAGCAGGGTGAGGCTGTGGGTGGAGAGGACCCGGCAGGGGTGAGGCTGTGGGTGGTGAGCACCCCGCAGGGGTGAGGCTGTGGGTGAGAGGACCCGGCAGGGGTGAGGCTGTGGGTGGTGAGGACCCAGCAGGGGTGAGGCTGTGCTCCTCCAGCAGCTCCGCGCCAAGCCTGGAGGTGGGCAGGAGCCTCGTCCATGACAAGAAGTGCCCTGAGTGGCAGTTGCGTTTCCCGGAGGTATTTCTTCACACTTGGAGCCCGCACTTCATGGATCCACTCAATAACAAGCTTCCTGGTCACCATGCTTTGCTGCTGGCCCTCCACATTCCACTTGGTTTTCACGGCATTATTTTTCTTGAAAACTCGCAGGTTTTTGGAATGGTGGACGAGTAGAGGCTTCAGTTTGAAGTCCCCACTCGATTCCCACACAACAGTCACGTCAGCCGCCCTCCACTGGCTGTGTCCCGGTGCTGCCTCTCCGGCCTGGCGGGGCCTCGCGGGCATGTCCTCCCAGGAGAGGCCTGTCTCGTCCCAGTGGGACGCTGATGGGAACAGATCCCTCGGCCTCCTCCGCAAGTTCTGTCACGAAGTCCTGAGCAGCTGCTTTGCTAGAGCTGGCAGCCTCCCCACGCTTCTCCGCCGCGGTGCGCCTCTCTCCTGACCACCAGGCCCCAGGCCGCCTTTCGGGAGGCCAGTGCAGCGTCTCCACTTTTTCACAGACTTGCCTTTGAAACGTTATCACTGGCTAACTGCTTTTCGTTTATCCAAATCAACAGCCATTCTTCTAACTCGGTAGTTGCCTACAGTTGTTTCATGAGCACTTCCCCACCCTTAGCAACATCAGTCAGCACTCTTGATGGCCTCTTTATGTTTTAAAGTTGTGCTAACTATTTTGCCCTGCCGTACTCGGCAACCAGGTCAGACACACAAACACCTCTATCATACTTCACAATTATTTCTTTTTTAAGCTCTATCATTGTTCTCACAACTTTTTAAAAACATATTTTTTAAAATTACTTTTAGAGAGAGAGGAAGGGAGAGGGATAGAGAGAGAGAAACATCAATGAGAGAGACACATGGATCAGCTGCCTCCTGCATGTGGGGGATCGAGCCCATAACCATGTGCCCTGACTCAGAATCAAACCAATGAACTCTTGGCTCCTAGGTTGATGCCAGCCGGGCCTCACAACTTTCCTTTTCACTTTGCTGCTGTCACTCACATTCTTAGCACCCAGGATAATTTACTATAGGTGTTTAATAATAAGCAGCCACAAAACAAAAAACACGAAGATATTCACAGCACAATTTCCTGAGATGTTAACAACACAAGGTTAAGCAGTCAACTGACTCATATTCGTGCATTCTCTCCTTTGTTTGTTGCCTGAGAAACATGTGACTGACCATACAGGTGTATTGGGTCAAAAATCGAAGTTTTGTTCAACACCAAGATAATTTTTCCGTGAACAACCTGGTCGAGAACCGAGGTTTGACTGTACTCTCTTTCCACTGACGAAAGTGAGCTGATGGGGCTGGTCTGGGGGCAGGAGGCTGTTGTGTTCTTAGAAGGTGTCAGAGAACTGATGGCCGAATCTGCGTGGACGGCAGCTCTCCAGACCCTGCCACTGGGAACAGGAAGTTTGGTCCAGGGGCAGAAGCAGAAGATGCCAGAAGCTTTCTTTTGTCCAAAGAACAGAACCCATAGTTTAAATCAGTAATTGTTTATTTATCTGAAATTTGATGATTTAAAACTGTCAAAACTTGAGGAATACAGAAATGAATAGGATATGGTTCATGTTTTATAAGGTTTTAGTCTGGACTTTGGCATACAATCCAAAGGAACAAAGGAAATAAAAGCATAATGTTCTTTTTCCCCTCTCAATAGACCTTCCTCTGGGTCTTTCAACCCCTGACACTATAGGCGCACAGGTGGGAAAAAGAACTACTCAAGAGCAGGGAGGGGGCCACTGAGTCACTACCAGCCAGGGCCCCTCAGGGGGCCAGCACTGCCGGTCACTGCTCCCCGGTGGTTTCACCGCCTCTGCCCCTGGCGGTTTTCCACCTCCCCTGGACCAGGTTCTTCCAGCCCTGGGTCAGAGGGGCCCTGCTTTATCGCTGTCACCACAGTCTGTTGCCAGCCTAAGTGACCACCTTCCTCTGTTCTCTGAAGTAGGACAGTAGGGCTGCTCTCGAGGACAGGATTCGGTGCTGGCTGCTCTCCCCGAGCAGGGGCGGGACTCAGTGTGTGCCTGGTGGGAAGAAGACAGGAACACACGTATTTGGGCATTGACCCAGCAAGATACTAGAGGCACAGAGCATCTCTGGATGTCTCCCACTTCTGTGTTTCCCCATATGGCTGTTCCTTTACAGGTGCCCCGCCCCCTGCCCATTCCCATTGGCACCAGAATCTTGCTCAGTAGAGAATGCACCTAACCTGCTCAGGGGCCCCACAGGGGTTGAAATAGCAGCAGGTGGGCAGGGGGTGGATTAGCCAAGGCAGCTTGGTTGCAAATAACAAATGCCAACTCCAGCTTGCCTAGGCAGAGAGGAAAGTTTGTCATGAAAAGGCAGGGCTATCTACAACCCTGGGGTATGCGGGGCCTGGGGAATGGACAGAAGGGATCAGCAAAACCCTCCAAATCTCCTGTATGTCTCACTAGGCACACCTGCTGCACCTTCTCCCATCCACAGGTTGGGGCTGGCACAGGACTGACTCCCAGGGCCACATCCACGGACAATCTCACCCGCAGGCTCCAGGCCCAGGCCAGACTCTTGCGAGGGGGAGAAGCTGCTGGGCCAGCCAGCGTGGGGTGTGTCTTTCCCCTCCCTGCCTGGGGCCATGGAACGGGGTCTGTTGACACGCGGTTTGGGCAGGTGCCCCAAGAGTTCTCAACTGACTGGAGAGAAGAGTGATGGTTTTTTAATCTTCATTCTTCTCATCTCATAGTCAGCTGGATGGAAAGCGACACGAATGAAAAGGGGCTCCCTGAGCTGTTGGCCCTCCCATAGGAACAGGCCTCCAGCAGCCCCAGGGGGAGCTGCCATGCTGCTGCTCCCGCTCCCACAGCAGCGTGGGTGCCGGCGGTTAGGCCCAAGCTCCAGTGCTAGTGCATGGGGAGCTAGGTCACGGCCTCAGCTGGAGCGTGAACCAGGTGGCTGAGGCCAAAGCAGCTGGTGGAAGATGGGGCTCGGGGTCACTTCCCAGGGGGCAGGCCTCTTGTGACTGCTCCCCAGCTGGGATTCCAGGGAGACCTCAGCAGGCACCTCTGCCCAACTCAGGATCCTGAGGAAAGTGTCAGCCAACCCGACAGGGGCTGTCCTGATGCAGGGTTAAACCCCTGAGTGTGCAAATTAAATAAGTGGATCAAGGGAGCCAGACTGACAGTATGTTTCTGTTAAGTAAGATGCATCACTTGTAATTAACAAGGCATTTTGGAAGCTGGCCTTTTCACTTCAAGTGGGTCTGCGGGTAAGCGATAGCGTTGCTCTGGCCGCCTCGGGATTGGTTGGAGCATTGCTGGAGCCGGGAGGCGGTTAAATGCTGGAGACAGCAACGGAATTAGTACAGGACCCTGGCCCCCAAGGCTCCGCCTTCCCCTGGGAGTTTATAAGGTGATGGGTGACTCTGAAGAGCTGGGCCCAATTTTGGGGGAGCTGTTTGGCTATACTTTTAAAAAATGTATTCTGGCCCTAGCTGGTTTGGCTCAGTGGGTAGAGCGTCAGCCTGCAGACTGAAGGGTCCCATGTTCGATTCCGGTCAAGGGCACATGCCCGGGTTGCAGGCTCCACCCCCAGTAGGAGGCAGCTGATCAATGATTCTCATCATTAATGTTTCTCTCTCTCTCCCTCTCCCTTCCACTCTGAGATCAATAAAAATATATTTTAAAAAAGAAAATGTATTCTGTAACTTCCAAAGAACAGATTTTTTTTTTAATTTTTAAAGAGTTTCATGAATCAGTGGTAAGTGGCAATCCGTTTCCATCTGTGTTCTTTCCTCTCTGTGCTGTTTTCATGTAAAGGAAACTAGTGCTCACGCTTTCCTGTGGGTTTCCATGTGGGCATGTGTGCGTTGACATTGCAGGCAGCACGGGCTCCCCTCCCCGCTCAGCCCCAGACACCTTGCCCGGGCGAGGCCGGCTCAGCTGTAGGGTCCTCGCATCTGCTGAGGAGACCTAGAGAGGCTTTCCCAGCCACACGCCGCTGTCTCCTTCCTGTCAATTTGCCTGTGGTTCCTGCTTCCAGTGACGAGAACCCCACACAGCAGTGTGGGAAACGGTGAGCGAGCTTGCAGACCCACAGCGCCCCTGGCCCCACGGCAGCCTGGCGGCGCCCTCTGCTCACCCTTCAACTAAACTCACCAGAAATTGATTTTCTTGCGATTAGGGAAATGCCTGTATGTTAGGATGTACTGCAAAGCTTGGGTGTTATTTCTCTGTCTCTTCTCCAAGGAAATACAGATGCTGAATTAAGTTTTATGTTTTTGTTCATGCTCAACAGCACCATTGAAAAACCAAGATTTTGCCACCTGCCTTGTGGCAGCGCTGGCAGGGGGAGAGGGACAGGATAGTTGCCAGGGCAGTTCGCATTGGGGTCCAGGGGAGCACTGGCCTCTGAGAGAGCAGCTGGGTGCGGTGGGTGTTCAGGCGCCGTGACAGCTCTCGGGAGACACGCTTCCTAACAGACCTCCTTTCTCCTTCCAGGCGTGGGCCGACGCCTTTCGAAGCAGTCCTGACCTCACGGGTGTTGTGCATATATATGAGGAGCTGAAGAGGAAAGGGGTCGAGTTTCCTAATGCAGATTTGGACGCTCTGTCTCCCATACACACACCGCAGCGGGTAAGCTCCCAGCTGGCATTTTCTAGAAAGGCCTATTGCAGAATACGCACCGCCCCCTGCTGCTCCATCTGAATTATTCAGCTTGTCGTCACGCTGTCTTGAAGCTTGAGGGCATTTCTCTTTAATAACGGGGAGTGCAGGAGTGAGACAGCTGGCTGATAGTGATTAAGTGGCTGCAGTGTCTCCCCCAGTTTTCATCCTGCCTGTGGAAGAGCATAATAGAGGGATCGTTTCAGACGTTCTCATGGAAATGGCTGCTGGGGGAAGCCATTCTCTGAGGGTCATTAGCACCTGCTCTTCAGAGGCCCCAGGAAGGGGCTGGCCGGCCTCCCCTGGAGAACAGGAGCACCTCGGTGTTGGCAGTGTGGAGATGAGTGTGCCGCTGCGCTGGGCAGGGAACAGCTTGGGGTTTCCCAGCCGTACAAGCTAATCAGATGCTCTAAATGGACCCATTATCAAATGGCTCTAAAATGTACGGAGAGCTGGGCGCGTTCGGCATCAGCCCAGACACCTGGGGATTCAAAGCCCATGGAAGGCCATGCCGCGGAAGCCTTCGAGGCAGCCCTGTGCTGCAGAATTAAAGCCTGCAGGAGAGGCTGGCCACCCTTCCCGGGAGCTCGTGTGCACCCTGTGGGCTGGGATCCAGGAGAGCCAGGGCTCAGGACACTGCCTTGCGGGCCCCTGTCAGCCCACCTCTGAAACGGGGGAGGAGGGCGGCGGCCTGTGCGGGTCTTGTCGTGTGAGCACCGTTCAGGCTCAAGAGGGTGTCAGAGACGCCCACAGGGAAGCACCAGGAGTTATATCTTCCAGAGCAGTGTTTTCAGAATGACCCTCCAAAACACTGTGCCTCGTGGAGTAAACATCACTGTTTTATTCTTCTAATAACTAGTGGCTCAGTGCACAAATTCATGCACGTTGAAAGGAAATTAATTAGAAGAAATATTTTAACATTGCTATTCACCCTTCCTCTGTAATAGAAGTGTCAACCAAATTCACGATCGACAGTGACAGGTTGAAACACACATGTGCGATTGGCGCCAGTGAGAGCTTTATATGTATCGCGCATGTGCGAGTCAACTTAGCCTTTTACAGATATAGAACAAATTTGCTTAATTAGACCTGCTTTCTGATGTAGCTAAACTTTTTCCAGCCCAGTGAAGCACCCCAACTTCTCTTTCAGGTAATTGTCAGCAACACAGCAGTAAATATCAACAAAAAGCAGATTACTATTGTAGATCACACAGGAAGAACAAAGGGTAAAATATGTAACTGCAGCAGTGTTTGACTATATTCTGCGCAGTGAGAAAACCTGAAGTCATTTTCAAGGTCCACCATTTCTTACTTCTTTTCAGTCGGGTCAAGTTTCTGAGCTTTCTAAATCTCCATTTTCTGGCTAATGAAAAGAAAATAGGATTCCATCGAGTCTCCTATCTACCTACTCCAGGACTTCTGTGAGGCTCAAATGAGATGAGGCACATGAAAACACTTCACAGACATTTGGTTACAGTGTAAAGTGTTTCCACCTGGCTAAAGCTTCCTGGGCTGAAGAAACTGCAAGGAGGCTAGTCGTCACTAGGGAGAGGAAGCCGGGCTTTGCTATGTGACATCATTACCCGGACAGAGGGAAGGACACTTAGCTTATTAGCCTTTTATATAGACAGATGATACAGAACTATGTTGTTGTTCCTGTAATTACAAAGAAAGTTCAGTAAATTACATAATTACTATTTATATTAGCTTACTTGTAAAAGCCAAAACATAATCTTCTGGTACCAACTAAGGATCCCTAGGTGGCCCTAGTAATGGGTACAGAGTGCTAGGGCTCTCCCTGCCGCCTTTTGAGGGGTCTGGGCTTGGTTGTGAGGGAAGCAGAGGGAGAGGCCACTGGGAGGGCGTAGAGGGAAAGACTGGGAGCAGAGGGCCCCTCTTCACAGGTGCTGCAGATAGTGCTGCCCTGGGTGGGGCAGGCGCCAGGTCCTGCTGCGCAGGCAGTCCGAGTGAGCAGAGGACTCTGTTGTTGCCATGCCAGAGTGTCCCTGAAGTGGATCCAGCCGCCACCGTGCCCAGGTCCCAGGCGCAGCAGAGGACAAGTGCCGGCTCCTTTTCCTCGCCTCCTCCTCCTCCCTTCTCCGCACCGCAGGCCCCGGCTCTGAGTGTGACCGGCCCCATCACAGCCAATGCAGAACAGGTACTTGCATACACTAGGCACAGGCAAGCCAGCTCTGCCCTCATTTGCCCTCCCAGAGACATGGGCAGGTGTCAGTGATACACAGAGGAAAGGGCCAGCCCCGCTCCTGAGGACTCACAGTCCGGTGGGGGAGACAGGTGCAAAGACAGTCAGGACTGTGGTCACGTTGAGGTGGGAGAGTGTTCAGGTGCTGAGCCCAGAGTTGAGCAGTGCCTGGAAGGCAGCCTGAGCTGCTGCTGTGGAAGGTCTTGAAGCGGGAGAGAAGCCTTGCCAGGCACCATGCCGGGGCAGGGCTGGTGTGGAGCGGGGGGCAGAGGGGGTGGAGGGTGGGGGCTCAGTGTGGGCAGGGGCACTGTGTGGGGTGGGCAGGTGGGGGTGGTGCAGGCCAGAGGAAAGTGCACAGCAGGCGATGTTTGGAGGATGGGCTGGTGCAGGGTGGGAGTGGGGAAGAAGCCGGGGCAGAGGTGAGGCCAGAGCACAGGAAGGGAGCGGAGCTGGGAACAGCCTATGTGTGTGCTGATAGGGTGGACTTACCTGTGAGGCAGAGGCTGGGCAGGGAGACTCTTCAGGAAGCCTCTTCCTGCTTCACCCCAAACACTGCCTGCCTCCCTGAGGGACCTCCCGGGAAGCAATGCCCTTTAACCCCAACGGGTTTTTCGGTGAGATGTGGAGACTGATCTTTAGGTGATTCTCTAGAATTTCCATTAGTTAAAATTTGAGAATCGGTCAGGCTTGAAAAAAATCCATCCAGTGTTTATATTTTTTAAATGTTCACATAGTACCTGTGACAATGTCATCATTCTGGGGCCTCATTTAAACAGAGGACAGATGATTCTGCCTGGTTCGTGGGGTGCTGTGCCAGGGCCCCAGGAGGGAGCGGGCGGGAGGAGGGAGAGGCCAGCCAGCAGGCGCCAGCTTCGCCAGTCCTTTAGCCCTCAGGGTGCCTCCTGTCCATACAATGGGGCAATAACCGTGCCCTCTTACCTGCTGGGCAGTCATGGGCCTGAGGGCAGTTGAAGGCTATAAGCACCCAAGTTCTGCGTGCTCTGCTGAGGAGAGACTGTTGAAACCCACAGCTGAAACGCATTTACCTTGACTGTGGGCCTCACTTCACTGAACTGTGCCCCTTTTCATCACCTAAAATGACCAGGACCTGCCCCCCTGGGCAGAACTGTGCCCCTTCTGCTCAGAGGGAAGGCAGCCATGTTTGAAGTTGGATGGCCTGAGGCCCTCCACTGTCTGTGTGTGGGAACGCGGGGTGAGGGGGAGCCCTCAGCAGCCAGAACAGTGGAGAGAGGGTTTGGAATGCATGAGGGGCATGAGTATTGCCCCTGGGGAATGAAAGCAGAGGCAGCAGGAGACCAGCCGGGCCTGGAGGACCCAGGGCTTCAGAGCCCACATGGCTTCTAACCGCGAAGTCCTGGGCCTCCTGGTCAGAAACCTCTTCTCAGCCAAGACCTGGGCCGTCCACCCGTCAGGCAGAGCACGAGGCAGAGAGAAGCCTGCCAGGACCTGGCCTGCCCCCCTGGTGGGCCATCCCTCCCATCTGTCCAGCCAGTAAACATGCATTGAGCCTCCTGTTCCTGTACCTGTGCGAGGGCACAGGCCTCAGGGGGCTGCGGGAAGAGGTGGGGAGGCCTCCGTGCACGGGGTCAAGTACAGGTCAGAGTGCCTGCGGTCCAGCTGTCTGCACATCCCAGCAGTGTCGGGTATATGTGTGCCGACACGAGTGAGGGGGGCATTTCCACATCAGCTACCCGCAGCAACCCTGCACAACGTGGGGGTTCCCAGTTCCTTCTCAGGTGGGAAAACGGAGGCTCAGAGCTTAAGGTCCATCCTGTGGTGTTCCTGCTGCAGGAGAGATGGCCCAGGCCCAGGCTTTGGAGACCCTGTTGGGTGGGCGGGTTGGTAGCTTTCAGGGGGTCGTTATCCTTTGGTAGGGAGTGGCCTTCCCTGTGGTTTTCTCTCAGTGCCTTTCCCTCACTCTTGCCACACCAGGAAAGTGTGCATAACCTGGCCAGCCTCTCAGAAGGACATAGTATTTTGAGGATAAGCTGCTGGGAGCCAGAGTCTATAACTATTCGGTTCCTCAGCAGGGATCCCAGTGCTGAAGGGACTGGGGACCACACCTCCCACCTTTCCCTTGAAAGAGCAGAGGCAGAGGCCTGAGGGTGAGTCCCTGCCCCAGGGCGGGGAAGCGGGGGCTACAGACCAGCTTGGTCCTCTGGGCCCAGAGCGCTCTCCTTGCCCAGTGCTGCCTCCCAGTCCTGGGCAGAGTCGGGGGCCAACGGGTGACCGGGCTCTCCAGGTGGCCCCCCTCCCCCATCAGTACTCTCTAGACCAGAGGGAGACAAGACGGTGCTGCTGCTGCACTCCTTCAGAAGTGCAGCCCGTGTCCCAGTGAGGGCGGCGGCCCCGGCCAGGCACAGTGACCGACCTCTCCCTCCCTCTTCCCTCCTCTGGGCCCAACAGATCGCCAGGCTGCGGAGCGAACTGGACATTGTTCGAGGAAACACAAAAGTCATGTCTGAGATGTTAACGGAAATGGTTCCTGGGCAGGAAGATTCATCTGATCTGGAGTTGCTACAGGTGAGGGGCCTCATCTTGGGGCTCTGGGCCCAGGGATGCAGTCGTTGAGAGAGGGGCCGAGTCCATTTGGGCCCAGACCCAGCCTCATGCTTCCTAGAAACAGACAGAGGCCAGTACCAGGCTCTCTCTTTTTTATTTTCCTTAGTAACATTTTTTCCTGATTATAAAATGCCAATTGCAAAATCCATGCTCATCTAAAGAAAAAGGAAGTTCAAAGGAGAAAGGAGTAATTTTCTCTGAGGCCGCATCCACAAGTAGCCATCGCCAGCGCTTTGATGTTTATTTCAAATGTGGTTGAGATGATGTTATTATGTGTACGACTTTTGTGTATTGCTTTGCACCCTTAACATCATCAGCCTTCCCTCCTCACGCCTTTCCCAGACCCCCAGGCCCTGGGGCAGCTGAAGCCCCTTTTCTTCTCCTGGACACCCAGCATCCGTCCCCAGGCGGAGGTTGCTCTCACGTGGTCCCGCGGCCCTGTCACTACCTGGCTTCTCCTCTGGACGCTTGTGGACCTGGCAGTGTGCCTGAAAGGGGTCTGGGTGCAGGGCTGGCCTGCGGGGGGGCCTTGTGTTAGAGCCAGATACCCTGCCTCAGGCCTGTTTCCCAGGCCCGCCACTCCCGTCTCAGGCTCTGGCCCCGCCTGAGAAGCAGTGCCCCTCTGAAGGGGTGGAGAGAGGGTGCTGTAGACTCCCAGGTGCCAGATCTTTTCAGTGAGAGGCAAGATGCTTGAGTAAATAAATCAGGAGCCAGACGGGCCTGGCGAACTGGCGTGAGTGCACCAGGCAGGCCTCGTGTTGCTATTCTCGTCTGCCCTCGGGCTGTCAGTCTTGGCCCCCTAAGTGCCACACGTCCCCCCTGCTGTTGGCACACACCTGCAGCCTGTGGAGGCTCGGTCTGATGGCCGGTCCTCAGGAATGCACACAGCCATCTCTTTTGTGCCCCCTTCATCCTTCGAAGCCATCAGCTCCCGGGGAGAGGAGCAGGGGTGAAAGCCTGTTGAGGGCCTAACACAGAGCAAAGCCCGAGAGGCACCGAGATGCTGTGCCGAGGCCTGCTCTGAGGAGCTCGCCGCTGAGTGCCGGAGACACGGCTCATCTCCACGAAACTGTGGCGTCGGGCTGTTCTTGAAGCCAAGATGAGACCCTCTGCCAGCTGAGCAAGGCAGCCTCACTGAGACCTGGCAGACCGGGCTTGCCTCACTGAGCAGGGCCAGCCGTCCGCATGCCACACTCCAGGGGACCCAGCACCCATTGCTGCGTATTGGCCTCCACTCGCGCCTGGGTGATGGGTTCTTCCAGGCATTCCCGGAGGCACTGAGATCTGTGATTATTCCAGAAGCGGCGGAAGCTGAGGGGCTGCTTGAGGTAGTTCTGCGCTGTGTCAGCATCAGAATTCCTGCTGACAAGGGCTTGCAGTGGACAGAGCGGAGCTCCTGGCAGCAGGGGTGGGGGCTGAACAAAGCCAGCCTGCCTCCAGACAGCCGAGCAGACCCAGACAGCAGGGATGTTCTGTGTGCCAGTGCGTGCGCGTGTGTTCTAAAACAAAGCCCATGAGCCAAGACAAACAGAACCTAATCTCCTGGTGTCAGCTCACAGTCTTCAAAAATAGGTTGCTTCCCATGACGTTTTCTTCCCTCTGTTTTGTTCCAACTCTGAGCCTCCCAGCCTCGCTGCTGTCTTTAAATCAAACGGAAAGAGCGGCTCTGGTACAGCGGGAGGCTTCGGGAGTCGGGCGCTCTGTGAACAGACATGGCCCCGGCTGCCGGCCAACTCTTCAGTCATTCCTGACATCTCTCCTCCTCTTCCTCCCCATCTATCAGAAGCCAGCCAGGGAGGGTCTCCCAAGGGCCGAGGTCAGATCACACAGTGAGCCTTCCATGTGGGAAAATGGCACAGGCTGCTGGGAAAGTGGCAGGATCAGCCCATCCCCAGGACCCCTTAGTGCAAGTGGAGGGCAGCCAGATGGCTGAGTAGAAGCTGTCAGAGCTCCCAGGACTGGCCAGGGCCATGGAAGTGAACGCTTTTGCCACCAGCCCAAATGTTCACGCCAACAAAGGCCGCTCAGTCTTGAGTGTGAGCTGCTGGAAGAGGCGGAGGAAATGGAAGAGAGGAAATTGGAGGTGTCAGCCCTGGATACACTGTGTGACAGACCATGATGATGGGTGGGTTTCGTCCCGATCGCTTCCCGGGAGTCACAGAGCCGTTCTGCTGCAGCCTCGCCGCAGCCCTGCGGAGGGCAGAGCAGCCCCCGGGGCACTGGGCCTGAGGACTTGGGTGGTTACTGTGGCTGAGGGAGGCGGAGGCCACTCCACTCCCCTGCGCTGCCAGCCTCTCAGGAGCTCCCGGGAGAGTAAGCCGCCGAGGGACCCAGCAGCTCCTCAGTGTGTGGGCCTCTGCTCTGGGCCGGGAGACCTCCAGGCAGCAGCCAGCTCCACACCTACGCTGAGTCCCTCCCGCCTCGTTCTCAGCAGCAGCTGTCGGTCGGCCCGTGGAAGCCCTTGGTGAGCAGCACAGCAGGGCAGGAAGGCGCCACTCGTTCAGCCGCTCAGCCGCGGACTGAAGAGCTGGTGATGCTCGCAGGCCCTGGCCCATGGAGCATGGCAGGATCACCGTCACCAGGGAGGGATGGGGATCCTGTTTGTGTGCTGCCCGGTGCCGGGCGCAGGCACGGCGGCCACAGGCTGGAGCTCCAGCCTGTCTCCCTGCACCTGCTGCCCTGTCCGTCTCTAACACCAGCAGAAACACATTCCACGTTCACACGGTAGGACCTTAAATGCTTGAGACTGCCGCGACCCAGTCTCAGGGTGCAGATGCGGCTGTGGGCAGCCCACCTTGAGGGTGGCCAGGCGGTTCTCAGCAGGGGACGGACATTAGAAGCTGAGAGCGCCATCCCCTGAGAACCCTCCTCTCTTTCTCCCGTGCTGCTGGACGTCTCTGCCCCCACAGGCACTGCGTGGGGCCTAGCGTGGCTGCACCCACACCGCTGAGGTCCACGCCTTCACTGCGGCCTGGAGTCCCCATCGGGACTCTAGTGAGCCTGGTGCTGTCGTTTGGTGCCTTCTGTCTCTTTCAAATTAGCTTTTTGGATTTTGTCTCCAGTTAATAACTTTTAATTAATTCAGTGATGCTCACAAGGGCATTCCTGCGGCCAGGAATGGTAGAGAACCTTTCTGCACGCTGTCCACGAAGAGGAGGGGCAGGCATTGATCGCCCTCTCGCTCCCCTCTCTCTGCATCTCATTTCAACAAAAGACTGGGTGGCCAGGACCGTTTTCCGTGGAGAAATCTGGTTTATTCTACACATTTAGCTTCATTATTCCCCTTTCTCTTCAACAAAGAACTTCTTCACCCACCCCCACCCCCCAGAGCTGTAGGAGCAGGTCTTCAGGACCCTGTTCCATGCTCCCCAGGACCGGGAGGGGGTTCAGAGGACACCCAGAGCGAGGACCTAAGGGTGGTTCTGTGAGGTGGGGATGTGCATGCCCTTGAAGAAAAGATCAAGGCATTGGGATCAATTAGACAGAAAAGAGGATATTTTAATAAGATGCTCTGATAGGTGAGGGCTTTTGCACAAAGAACAGTAACCAGCTGTTCTCCCTCTGTTGAGAGCCAGACCCAGAAGGAGGCCAAAGCCCAGATTGTCACCATTTAAGAACTTCCGTCCCAGCTGTTGTGCAGCGGGAAGGCTGCCCAGCGAGTGAGCAAGCGGGCTCTCTGTCTGGAGGTCTGGAGGCAGGGGAGGCAGAGCAAGATCTCCCACGGCACCTGCGCAGCCTGGCTGTGGGGGACCCCGTGGAGGCCATGCGGTGCTAGCTGGTCTGTGGTGGCAGAAATCTTAACATTCTAGTCCTCCTCTCACCATCTAGCTCTTTGTCGTTTCTCTTCCTGTTTAATTTTGTTTTAAGACAGTAACTTACAAGGTTAAAGCATGGACATGTAAAGCTTTCTCTCTGACTCAGACCCCGGGCGGACTCCCTGGGTGCTCCTCTGGGGTCGGGGAGGGGAGGCTCTCCTGGGGGGTCCGGGCAGCTTCCTTGTCATCCCCTGGCGGTGGTGGGGCCAAGGCAGCAAGTGCAAGGCCAGAGCAGGTGCTTCTGGCCTCCCTGCCTCCTGCTCCAGGATGAGAGCTAGCAGAGGCCTCAGAAACCATCTGCCTCTTCCCACACATTTCCGTCAGGGACTGGAACTCTTCTCCACAACCAAGTCTCCCAGAGAACCCGAGTGTTTAAAACAGGTCAAAGCAGAGCTGCCCGGCTGCTGCAGGGTGGGTGCCCCAAACCCCTGCTGTGAGGCACCTCAGAGGTTCACCATTTCTGCACCCCTTGTTTTCCCCAGGGAGACAGAAGCCAGAGAGTGCTGGAGGCCTGGGGCGCTAATGCAGGGGACAGGGCGAGGACAGTGACGGGAGCTGGTGGTCTGAGCAGACCAGGGTGCAGAGCATTTTATTTGTTTGTTTATTTATTTTTACTAGAGGCCTGGTGCACAAATTTGTGCACAGTTGGGGTCCAGCCAGCCTGCCCTGATGGGGGCTGATCAAGGCCAGGCTGACAGGGGGTGGGGATTCAGGAGGTTGTGGGGGGCCGATTGGGGCCCCTATCGGGCCTGTTGGCCACTGCAGTGTGCGTCACTGTTCCAGTCGCTTGGCTTTTATATGTATAGATTGATTTCAGAGAGAAAGGAAGAGAGAGAGGTAGAAACATCAATGATGAGAGAGAATCATTGATCAACTGCCTCCGGCAGGCCCGCTACTGGGGATGGAGCCCGAAACCTGGGCATGTGCCCCTGACTGAAATTGAACCCGGGACCCTTCAGTGTGCAGGCTGATGCAGGTTCAGAGCACTTGAGATCAAGGTCCTCCTCCTGCCTCCAGCCCAGCCTGGTGCTGCTGGTGGGATGGTACTACCTACCTGGGCTGATTTGGCCCGGGTGTAGCTGGTACAGGCCCGGGGTAGGGAGAGAGGGGTTATGAGAATCCAGTGATTTGCTTAAAGCCCTCCTCTTTCCAGGAATGGTCCTGCCTTCTCCAAAAACCTAAAATGGTAGTCTTAGGGGAACCAAGAATGAGAGTCTGTTCATAGAAAAACCCAGAACGTCCAGACACTGGACTTGCTTCTGGCCCTATTGACCAAGAAAGACTGACAGCAGCATCCCGGCTGTGCAGAGGGCTGGCAGCAGGGCAGAACCGAGACAGAGGCCGTAGCCAGCTGGCCAGGGCCCAGGACCCCAGCGTCAGAGCATCTCCACAGGAAGCTGCCTTTTATGCACAGCTGCCAAACATAGGTACTTCAGTCTTGAAAAATACATCTGTGCTACGGTGCTTCTGGGCTGCCCCCCACAGGCCAGGCTTCTTTCCTCAGCTGCCCCTGCTGTCTGGGAAGGAGCCCCCAGGCTGAGCCGCCTGGGAGAGTGGCCAGCATAGAATGGCCTGAATGTGCCAGCAGCACCCTCCTCCTTCGCCACGGTCTGCTTGCTCTGTGGTGAGCTGACCTGTCATGGTCCCTCCCCTGCTCTTCCCTGCAAGGTCAAGCCCGGCACTCATCCCGTCCACAGTGAATATCTGATGGTGTCATAAAACACCCCTGCCGTTGCTGCGGGTACAGATACACAGAGCTCGTCAGTCAGCAGGGTCTTTTCCTGTTACCAGTCAGTTTCCCACGTGGCCACCCCTGTCAGCCAGCAGCTCCACTGTGGGGCGTGGTCCTGTGCAGGTGCACAGCAGGCGAGTACAGTGTTTGCTGCTGCACCCACTGCGCTGGCCAGAAAAGAGGCCGCACCCGAGTGTCCCAAATGGGAGAATGGTGCGATACGTTATAATGCACACACAGGGGTGAGACTGAAGTGGCAGGAAAGTTGTCTGGAACATTCTGTTGAAGAGAAAAAGCCAGCTGCAAAGAATCCTCTCTTCTATTTTAAAACTGGTTCGTGCAGCATGTCGTTGTGTCACCCCGCAGTCTGAGGCCTGGACATTGGTCTGTCTAGGGAACAGGAGCGGGCTTGCATGGGAGTAAGGGGGCAGTGAGGGAGGCTTCCACTTTGCACCCTGCACACACCCGGCTTTATGAGCAAGAACGTACTCCCTTACGACTTGAGGAGCAGGGCACGTTTTCCCAAAGGAAAGCGATGTGGCCACGGCCCAGCCAGGCTAGCCAGGCGTGTGTCCCCAGGAGCTGCACAGGACCTGCCGGGCCATGCAGCAGCGCGTGGTGGAGCTCATCTCGCACGTGTGCAACGAGGAGGTCACCGAGGAGCTGCTGCGCGTCAACGACGACCTCAACAACGTCTTCCTCAGATACGAGAGGTGGGCGCGGCTCCTTCCTTCCCCCGGGAAAGCGGGTGGCCAAAGCGGGTTTCTTTCAGGAACAGAGGGAGGGAGATTAGATTTGGAAACTACCCACCAGAGATGCTCATTTGCTCCAGGCGACAGGGAAATGGCTCTTATTCTCCTGGGAGTCTCTGCCCTTTGCAAGCCTCTGGCTGCTCTGCCTTCCTCACCACCTGCCCCAGAGGGGAAGGACCGGCACCGGGCACCGGGCACCGGGCCCTGCAGCTGCTGCACCTGCCTCTTTAAAGACCCTTTGAGCTTGAAAAGAGTTAAAGGAAAAATATCCATAAGGAAAAAGACTTTTCTCTTCCATCTTAAAAAAAGGAGGTTTTTCCCTTCCTTCGCAAACGTCAGGGAGTCTGAGTGTCCGGCAGGGGCAGGAGCCCCGGGTGCTGCGTAGAGAGCACGCGTTCTCTCAGTTCTTCCTGCGGCCGGGCCACCAACGGGTTTGAGGTAACGACCTTGCAGGTCCTTCTCCCTTTCCAAAGCCTCCGGAAAAGCGCAGCCTCCGCAGCTGCAGGCCCAGGTGTAGGAGATAGAATGCAAGCAGCTCCGCCTGTGGCTCGGGCTCTCCCGGGGGCGCCTCCTACAGGCCCCTCAACCAGGCCTGCCTTCTTCTCAGTTTGAGCCCCAATCCCCTGGAGACTTGGGGTCCTGGCCCCTCGCTGACTCATGGCATGACGGTCTGGCACCCGTTACGGTCAGTGTGATAGATACTTGCATTTGGGATCTGAGAGGGTGACTTTGCTGTGATTGTCACAACCCTGGGCTTTGTCTCAGCTTTAGCTGAGGCAGCAAGGAAGGTGGCCCTGTCGGCTGACAGGTGAGGTGGCCTCCGCAGAGGGCGTTGGGCCAGCAGGGACGAGCCAGTTGGGGACAGGAGCCAACCTGAGTGCCTTGACCCTTGGTCTTGCCTTGTGGTCCCAGTTTTAAATGGCCTGACTTTTAACCTGTCAGGCTCCTTTCAGCCCCTTCGAGAACAGGTGGCAGGAGCTGTGTGGGCACTTCCACTAGCCTGCCAGTCCCGGCCGACCACAGACTCAGCGCCTGGGGCCACCAGCCCTGGTGCCTCCCAGCCAGGTGGAGGGAGGGACTCCACTCCTCCTGAGAGACCCTCAGCACCCCGTCCTCACCATGTCCCTCGTGGAGATCCCTGCTCACAGGGGCTGGCCCCAGCAGCCGGGACCCAGTGAAGTCTGCTTCTCCGGGTCCAGCTGAAAAGAGTCCGAGCTCCCCCTGCCCATAGCGTTTGGGAGCTTTTCAATGTCACGCAGCCGCTCGCCCCTCACAATCGCTCTTGTCTCCCACCCGGGTAAGAGAGGAGGGTTCTGTAGCTGCTCTGAGCCAAGTCCCAGCCTGGGCGTGGCCTGGCTGCAGCCCCCAGGGACCCCTCCACGGCAGAGGGCGTGCCTGTCCTCCAGGGCCTGCCCCCTGTGACATAGGGCGTTAGCCTGGCTCGGCCCCTGTAAAATGGTTAGCCCAACCTCCCGCTCCAGTGACAGGAGGAGCACATAGCCCAGGGTCTGAGGGGATGGCTGGATGCTTACAATGGCCTGATGTGCCAGCCACCACCCTGCTCCCTCACCTCAGGGCCCATGGGTGAGGCCCACACAGGGGAAGGGTGTGACGTGCGTGTGTGGGCCGCTCTCCCAGCCCTAACATGGGTCTGGTTGGTCTCCTTTCCTGGAACCTCAGTCCCAGAAGCTCTTCACAGGACCCGTGGGCATCACAGTGCCACCACCCTCCCTCACGGGGCTCTCCTTCCCGTTAGGTTCGAGCGATTCCGGTCCGGCCGCTTGGTCCAAAACGCCAGTAACGGGGTGAGTACTCCCTGGGCCTCCGCGGGGCTCTGAGGCTGGGAGGGCCGCCTCGGGCGGGGGTGGGGTCTCGCTTGTTCCTTGACCTGATGTAAATATTGATGAAATGAGCAGCTCGCGCTGTTGACAGGCTGCTGAGGCAGAGCCAGCAGGCACATCCTGAGGGGCAGTGGGCAGGCTCCCCGTGCCAGGGCCCACAGTGGACCCCTGGCTCCTGTATTGGCACGGCGTTGAGACCACACTGTGCCTGCGGCTGAACCTCAGCCAGGGCCCCAGGGCTCACGGGCTCACTGCACCTCCTGCTCCGACAGGTACTGAGTGAAGTGACCGAGGACAACTTAATAGACCTGGGGCCAGGGTCTCCCGCCGTGGTGAGCCCCATGGTGGGGAGCACGGCACCCCCACCTTCCCTCTCATCCCAGCTTGCTGGCTTGGGTGAGTATCTCATGAGGGTGAAGGACCTCCTTCGCAGTCCCCTTCCTGGCAGAGTCGGGGCAGATGCCCTCTTTCTGTTGGAAGGCCCGAGAGCCTTTCGGGAGCCCATGGCAAAGTGTATTCCTGAGTCCTGACCAGTTGCACCACCTTCAGTTCATACTTTCTTTCCCTAACTTAAAGTTGTGACCTACACTGGAAAGCAGGGGTTAGGGGAGTTCCAAGGAACAGTAAGTAGTTTGCTTTTTAAAGAAAGACGGCTGCTGTGTTTTGTCTGGAATATTCCTTGTGGTCGAAGCGCTTTCCTTCTCAATATCAATGAGGTAGGCCAAGGACGGCAGACAGGTTTCAACTCATGGGCAGCTTGGAACACAGGTCTAAGGGGGGTGCTGTCACCAATTCAGAGCTTGGAAGATGAGTCTGGGATTGATCGGTGATGTCTGCCAGTGGCTTGGAAATAGGAAGGGACGGCACTGACATACTTGCTCTCCTTGAACTAACATTAGCTAAAGTATTCTATTGTCTGAAATCTGAAACAAGAAACACGACTTTTCCATAGTTCATTCAGTTTAAAAGTGTGACTATGACCACTATAGTGCTGCAAATACACAGTATGATGCCAATTTATTGTATTATAGTATTGAAATAATAAGCATGGCCCTCTCAAAATTCTCTTATTAAATTTGATTTTAGAGAGGAAGGGAGAGGGAGAGAGAGAGAAACACTGATGGGCTGCCTTCTGCACGTCTTCTACTGGAGATCAAGCTTGCAACCCGGACACATGCCCTGACCAGGAATCAAACCAGCACCTCTTGGTTCACTGGATGATACCTAACCAACTAAGTAACATTGGCCAGGCTCAAAATTCTTTCTCCCATCCTGTTCTGTTTTCTTATCCTATACTAGAGGCCCGGTGCACAAAAATCTGTGCACTGGCGGGGGGGGGGGGTCCTTCAGCCCCACTTGTGCCCTCTTACAGTCTGGGACCCCTCAGGAGATAACGACCTGCTGGCTTAGGCCCGCTCCCGGGTGGCAGAGGGCAGGCCCAATCCCTAGGTGCAGCCCCTGGTCGGGCTCAGAGCAGGGCCAATTGGGGAGTTGGGGCGCCGCCCCCTGTCATGCACAGAGCAGGGCGAATCGGGAGGTTGCGATGCCACCCCCATTCACGCTCAGGGTAGGGCCGATTGGGGGGTTGGGGCGCCACCCCTTGTCACGCACAGAGCAGGGCTCATCAGGGGGGTTGGGGCTCCATACCCTGTCACACACAAAGCAGGGCCGATCAGGGGATTGGGGAGCTCCCCCCTGTCACGCACAGAGTAGGGCCGATAGGGGAGTTGGGGCACCGCACCCTGTCACACAGAGCAGGGCTGATCAGGGGGTTGGGGCACTCCCCCCTGTCACACTCAGGGCAGGGCCGATGGGGAGGTTGCGGCTCCACCCCGTCACACACAGAGCAGGGCCCATGCGGGGGTTGGGGCACCGCACCCTGTCACACAGAGCAGGGCTGATCAGGGGGTTGGGGCGCCTTCCCCTGTCATGAACAGAGCAGGGCGGATAGGGAGGTTGTGGCCCCGCCCCCTGTCACACACAGAGCCACAGGGTGATCAGGGGGTTTGGGCGCTGCCCCCTGTCACGCTGCTCCAGGGACCAGGAGGCCTCACGGCTCCGCTGATCCCAGTGCTGGGAGGCCTCGCGGCTCCACTGATCCCGGTGCTGGGAGGCTCCGCTGATCCCGGTGCCAGGAGGCCTCACGGCTCCGCTGATCCCAGTGCCGGGAGGCCTTGCGGCTCCGCTGATCCCGGTGCTGGGAGGCATATTACCCTTTTACTATATAGGATAGAGGCCTGGTGCATGGGTGGGGGCCAGCTCGTTTGCCCTGAAGGGTGTCCTGGATCAGGGTGGGGGTCCCACTTGGGTGCCTGGCCAGCCTGGATGAGGAGATGATGGCTGTTTGCAGCTGGTCACACCCCCTCCAGGGTGGGGGTCCCCACTGGGGTGCCTGGCCAGTCTGGGTGAGGGGCTGAGGGCCGTTTTCAGGCTGGCAGGTGACTGAAGCTCCCAACCTCTCCTTTTTTTCTTTTCTTTTTTTTCCTGGGATTTATTTACCTTCTATGGCTGTCACTGGAACTGAGAGCCGGCTTTAGCTCTGAGGCTCAGCTCCAGCTCTGAGACCTCAGCTGCTGAAAGCAGGTATTTGGCTTCTATAATTGAAACACTGTTGCAACTCCAGCTCAGCTGGCTGTCTGGCTGAAAGCATGGGGTTTGTTTAGCTTCGATAATTGCAACATTGTTTCGTAGAGTGCAAGCTCAGAGCCCAGCAGTGGTAGGCGGGGAACCTTGGCTTCCTCCTTCACTGGAGCAAGCAAGCCTCCTGTTCGCTTCAGCTGCCTGGCTGCCAGCCGCCATCTTGGTTGGCAGTTAATTTGCATATTTCCCTGATTAGCCAATGAGAAGCGTGTTGGAGGTACAGTTAATTACCATGTTTGTCTATTAGATAGGATGATAAAACCCTAATATGCAAATCGACTGAACAGAACGACCGGTCACTATGACGTCCACTGACCACCAGGGGGCAGACGCTTAATGCAGGAGCTGCTCCCTGGTGGTCAATGTGCTCCCACAGGGGAGCGCCGCTCGGCCAGAAGCCGAGCTCATGTCTGGTGAGCACAGCGGTGATGGCGGGAGCCTCTCCCGCCTCCGCTGCAGGCAGATGGTAAGGAGAGGTCCTGGACTACGAGAGGGATGTTTGTCTGCCTGGGGATTGGGCCTAAGCCGGCAGGCATACAACCCTCAAGGGGTCCCGGACTGCGAGAGGGCGCAGGCCAGGCTGAGGGGCCCCCTCCCCCCAGTGCACAAATCTCTTGCACCAGGCCTCTAGTTTCTTAATATTTATCTTTATAACTTCATTTTATTTCAGTTGAATTGAGCTTTTATTTCTGGCTTCTCAGTATCTCACGTTTGTAGCCCCTGTTTCTCTTTCAGAACAGGTTTCTCTCCTTCAGTCCATTCAGCATATGGCCACTGGATTCTCCCAAAATTCAAATTGAATTATGCTGCCTCCCTTCTTTAAAAAGGGCTCATGCTTTCCATCCACTCCTTTCCTGGCATTTGAGGCTTTTCCCAGCCTTCCCCACCTGCCTTGCCAGCCTTGTCCTCCATTAGCTTCCAGGGCATTGCTCACTGCACGTGCCCTGACTGCCAGCCTGCGCCTGCCTGTGTCTCCCTCCCCACACAGAGTCCACTGTCCCAAGTACTACTGCTGTCTGTCTGTCTCTCACCTGCTCTGTGACTCCTTGAGACCAAGGTCCACATCAGATTAGGTTTGGTTCACTCAGGACCTAGTTCTGAGCATGGTGGGTACCTGCAAAATATTTGTCAAATAACTAAACATCCAGGTCCTTAGACATTGGGAGTGAGGTGACGAAGAGCCCCCAGCACGGGCATTGTGGGAAACCTGTAAGGTCCCTAGCCCCGGGCACCCCCTTCCCACTGCCAGTGCTCTCCCTGCCATTCAGAATGACTTCTCCATCTGGACCGCACCCGTGGCCCCTCCTGCACAGGGTGACCTGGGTGTGCCCCCTGCCCTCCCCCCAGAACTTTCACCTGCTCAACTGGTGCCTTAACTTTGGGACCCCCGTGAAGTCCATGACCCATTTTGTTCTCATCTCCCTCATTTCTCCTGTTGCCGCAGACCTGGGGGCAGAGAGCGTCAGCGGCACCCTGAGTGCACTCCAGCAGTGCGCCCCTCCGGACAGCACTGGCACGTGCGCCCAGACCACAGGGAGCTCCTCAGCCGAACAGCGCAAGGCGTATGTGGGGATCATTCCAGTGGCTCCTGGAAGCTATTTGGGGAGATTGATCCAGGCCTGGTCACAGGCCAACACAAAGAGGCCTTTTATTTACCGTCCAGGACGGCCAGGAGCTTTGAAATATGGCTGAGAGGACTTGGCAGTAGACACAGATGTTGAATGAGTGAGCACCAGCCCTGCTGGCCTGGGCGGCTATAGTTGGAGGCCCCATCAGTCTAAGAGCGCCCTGCTGCTCTCTGCTTCTGGTGTGGCTGCTGCCTGGGCTGTAGGGGAGGCAGCCAGGAGGGCAGCCGCAGGACGCCTGCTGGGTAGTGAGGCTTCCCACCCACGAGTGTGCGTGGGGCTTCCCTGGTAGCAGCTCTGGCCAGCAGGAGCCAGAGGGAATTGGAGTTTATTCCAAAATAGACAATCCCCTGTGTCACAGGGAGGCCCAGGGACAGCCAGCCCAGGCCCTGCTTGTGGGTGCACTGAGCTGCTGCTGGGACCTCCCTCCACAGCCTCGGCACTTCCCTGTCCTCGTGCCTTAGAGGCTTAGAGGTGCCCTGTGGTGACGGAGCAGTGCGAGCCCAGGGGAGGGCGGCTGAGCTAGTGCTGGGAGGCAGCACCTCCCAGCCTCGGGCAGGCAGACAACAGCTGAGCCCTAGCCTCTGCCCATGCCAAGGTGCGGAAACGTTCTTCTAAGTCAGTGATGGCGAACCTATGACACGCGTGTCAGAGGTGACACGCGAACTCATTTTTTTGGTTGATTTTTCTTTGTTAAATGGCATTTAAATATATAAAATAAATATCAAAAATATAAATCTTTGTTTTACTGTGGTTGCAAATAACAAAAAATTTCTATATGTGACACAGCACCAGAGTTAAGTTAGGGTTTTTGAAAATGCTGACACACCAAGCTCAAAAGGTTCGCCATCACTGTTCTAAGTGCATGTGAGGAAGGTGCCATGGGTAGGAAGGGACTGCAGGCCACCCCCACCCCCGTGACCCTGGGGCACTGACTCTGCTTGTGCTGCTTCATCTCCAGGGTAACCTGTGAGGACCCCCAGGCTGCCGGAGGACTCCCTTCTGCCCTACACAGTCGGAAACAGATCTCCGAAGTGGTAGGTCTGGCCCTGCTTTTCTGCCTGGAGTCCGTGCAGGGGAGCTGGGCAGTTTGGTAAAGCTGGCGAGGTGATGAAGCAGACGCAGGCTTGGTGGAGGGCGGGAAAGACCGGAGATAAGGCAGAAGTGGAGGATGGTGCTCGTCCGGCCCCAATGCACCCTGGTTTCTGTAAGTCTCAGATCTTCGCAGGGGAAAGGAGTTGTGTCTTCATGTTTCTCGTGAGATTGTTCCTTCTGCCAAGTGGTGTGTGTGAGGGTGTGGATGAGTGTTTGTTTGCAGGGGCAGGGGAGGGCTGGGCCTCCTTCTGAGGTCCCCCGGCTGGGCCAGGAAAGGGCGTGCCCATTGCTCCTCTACCGTCCCCGCCCCCCCAACCCCCCCATGGGAGTTGCTTCCCAAATGCCAGTGTTGGGCCTCCTCCCTCCTAGTTGGCCAACTGCGTCCTTCTGCACTGGCCACCAGGGGGCACAGAAAAGCCAGCCCAGCTGCCTTCGGCTCAGTCCCCTGCCTTTCCACAGAAGGGTGGGCAAACCTGAGACCAGACTCCCGGAATCTGTGCAGCGGCCACGGCTCCGTTTACCCATTATTTAGAATGTCCTCCCCCCTGGCTCCGGAGGGCGTTTAGGAACTGGGCGGAGGCCCTGCCACATGAGGTGCCCCTCCTCCCCGCCCTCCCTGGCCTGGCCTGCAGCCCTGTCCCTGACCCGGTTTGCTTCCCACTGTCTCCAGGGCCTGCCCTGTCCATGGCAACCTGTGCCCCACCACACCTTTGCCATTATCAATGCCCACGCCTGGGTCTGAGCTTAGGACATGTGGCCAGCTTCCCACCCTTCACCCTTTGGGTGTGTGGCTTGGCCAGCCTCAGCTTTCAAAGGCCTTGCTGAGTCCAGCGTGTCTCCACGTGGTTGTGGCAGGCTGCTCTTTCTTCATGCTGACTGCTCAATGGGCGATGCGGGGAGCAGGGTTCCTGTTAGCTCTGCATGTATGTGTGTGTGTGTGTGTGTGTGTGTGTGTGTGTGTGTGTCCGTGTGTCTGTCTATCTCTGTATGTGTCTGTGTGTGTCTATCTCTGTGTGTCTGTGTGTCTATATATCTTTGTGTGCGTGTTTATCTCTGTGTGTGTCTGTATATCTGTGTCTGTGTGTTTGCATACCTGTGTGTGTGTGTGTGTGTCTCTGTGTGTCTGTGTGTTTTCATGCCTGTGTGTGTGTCTTTGTATCTTTGTCCCCACACACTGGCTCACGTGCACCTGCAGGCCAGGGCTTCAGGTCGTGTTCATACACTAACCCACACTGGCCTGGAAAGGAACACTGGGTCAAGGGAGAAATGAAGAATGCAGTAGGGAGGGGAAGGTGGATAGCCACGCCTCCACAGTGCAACCAAATCAGTTGTCTTGCTTTTAAAAAAGGTAACATACCCAAATTTAGAGTTTAAGGGTTTGGGAAATGAACATACAGGTAACTGAGAAAGAGGAAAAAAGGAAGAAAAAGCAAAGATAAGTTAGAAAAAAGTAGGAATGATTTGTAAAGGCTGGTTCTTCTGTAAGCCGCCCCTTGCCGCCTGGGAGCCCTCCCTGGGAGCAGCAGCTCCGGGCGGTCTGTGGCTCCTGGAGGCCGCCCGGTGCCCGGGAAAGGCGACACAGGGGGCCCTGGAGGGCTTGCTTACTTTACTAACCTCTTCACAGGTAGGTAGGGGGCGTGGTGGGGAGGCCCCTGGGCCAGGGCTGACATGACACATGATCACTCGAGCGACCTCTGTCCCGTGGGATGTGCTGTTGCTTCTTGGTTATGGGTCTCGCTGTGACTTTTCTTTCTGGGACTTTCCTGTCCTCCGTCCAGGAGAGAGTTAAAGGTGGGGACGCTGACCTGGAGCCCATAGACAGCTGGCTCGTGACCCAAGGAATGGTGAGCGGCCACTAGCTGAGCAGAGCGCCATGCCCCCCAGCGCTTACCTATGTCCCCGCTGAGCCCTGTGAGTCAGACAGCACAGGCCACTCTCCCCTTCCAGCTGGGTGCCAAAGCATCTCCTGAAGCACAGACCCAGCCTCCTCTGGTTTCTGCTGAGGTCCCGGCCCGGGCCTTTGGGGTCTGGAGCATCTCCGGGGGCGGGCCCTTCCCTCCTTTTACTGTCTCTGGGGCGCTCAGCAGTATTCCCTCTCCAGGGTGAGTGGTCACTGGCTTTTGCTTCTAAGAGAACAGACTCCAAGCCTCTGACCAGCTGGTAAAGCCCCAGCCTGTGAGGGCAGCGCTAGGCGCTGGCTCCGCTGTGCTCCATAGGGTCAGGGTTTGTGCCCACTGCGCCCCAGAGGCTCTGCGGCCTCTGACAGACACACACACGGAGCAGGACAGAAGAAGCAAGGCCGGCCAGGGTTAGCGTCACACATGCAGTTGGGGCTCAGGAAGTAAAGCCTTTCTGCACAGGACCGGGGCGGGGCTCGTGCCTCGCCTGGCCAAGTGGGTTTCTCTTCCCTCCCCTGACCGGGTGGCCCTGCGCCCGGTGTGTGGAGAAGGTGACCTCGTCCTGGCTGCTTGTCCTGCTGGGAATGACCATTCACCTTGGGAAGCCACAGCCCTCTACAGATCTGCACCCGCACGCCAAGCAGGCAGGCAGGATCCTGGGCCTCTCCCTGCAGCTGGAGGTGCAGCACCGGTGCACACAGGGAAGACTGTAACTGGCCTGGGGCCGTGCCAGGCTGTGGCCAGGGGCGGGTGTTGAGGCAGGGCAGCATGCGAGGGTGTCTGCCTGCCACCTGGCTGGAGCAGGCGACCCTGCACGCCATGCTCAGGTGGGGCCCAGCCCTCTCCTCGCTCTGTTTCTGCAGACCTCACAGCCCATCTTAGAGAGAGGGGCTGCCTGAGCCCCTCATTTGCTTCTTCAGGGGCAGGCTGGGGCCCTGGCTCACGTGTGGGTGGCTGTAGAGCAGGACCCCTGGAGACCATGTCCACTCCATTGTCCAAATCGGAAGGATCCAGGCATGTGTCCTTGTGCCTTTAACCCTGCCAGGAAAAGGACACTGCCCCCAAAAGTCGCCCTGAGCGTGGCCTCGGCAGCTGGTGGTGGTGCCTGCCTCTGCCACACAGGCCGTCGCAGCCACCCTATCCCCTCCCGGAGCTCCGTCCCCGGAAGCAAGCCCAGCTAACAGCTAACGGCCTCCCCTGCCTGCCTGCAGTGTTTTCCTTTAAACGACGCACATTAACTGCTTTGCCTTACTTCCCGTAGTGCAGCGCCCTGAGTCTGCCTACACTCCCAGGTACAGATTCTTTACTTGGAAGCTTTTTGTGCTGCTGAGTGCGACCAAAGGCTCGTAGGCCACTCCTCACGGCGGGTGCGGGGAGCCCGTCGGGAGGAGGTCTCACTTCTCTGCAAAGAGCACAGCTGGGCTGCAGAACTGTGCCTGTTGCATGAGAAGTCAGACAGTTGCTCCCCTGTGGTCTGGGGCTGTGGGGGGCAGACCCTGGCTCCTGGGGCTTCAGCACCAAAGTCAGCCACCCCAGGCTCATCAGCAGTTGAAGAAAACCCTGAGAACGCGCGTGCTGTCCCCCCAGCCTGTGACCCGAGAGGAGTCCCCCGCAGGCTGGGCAGCCAGCAGCTCTCTGCTGTGAGTGTCTGTCACGAGAACAGAAGGAGGTTAGTAGGAAGGTCTGCTGCTGCCAAAGCCCAATTTTGGGGGGCGGGGGGCCTACTCAGGCCCGCAGGACCCCAGGCACAGCCAGCCCGACGTCCCAAGAGCACTGAGCCCAGGACAGCCTCTTCCCTGTGCACAGGCCCCCACTGCTCCCTCAGCAGAGCTGCCTGCCTGCAGCCAGGTGGGCCCGCGGGCAGCAGATCGCCCACCACCTCTGCGGCCAGGATGTGCCACTGGCACCCGCCTGCCAGTTTCTGTTGGGTTCCGAGGACAGGCCATTGCCTCTGCCAAGCCAGCCTGGCCGCCTGTCCTCTGCGGGGTCAGCTCTAGCCCTGGTCTTTATTGGAGGGTGCTGCCCAAGTAACTTCTTTTATCTTTCTCTCTTCACGTCTCTTTTCCCCTTTCTGTCTACCTCCTCCAACTCACACTCTTCTTCCAACCCCTTGGGCCAGCCTTTGGCTGGATAATTCCCCAAGAAGATGCTAAACCACGGCAGGACAGAGCCCCAGTCCCAGGGCTCAGCTGGGCCAGCCCTGGCCTCTCGCCCTTCCGTCAGCCTGGGCGGAGCTCCGCGTCCTCCCTCAGCTCCAGGCCCTGGTGTAGAGCAGGCACAGGCTTCGTCAGAGGCAGCACCCACGGTATTAGAAGGGACGTCACCATGTGATACTCAAGGTGCTGATTTAAGGGGTTTTGTCCAACCAGAGCAAGTGAACCTCTACTTTTATATACGCGGGGCTGCTGACCCGCACCCCCTGGAGGCCAAGTGCCTTCATACTGAGGAGCCAGCGCCAGTCATTACTGACGTCCCTGGGTTTCTTTCTGTCTGTCTGTTTTAACAACTGATAGTTTATTGAAAAGATCGATTTATGCATCTGTAGTGATGACTTCAACCCTGACTCCTCCTCAGTGCGGGCAGAAGCAATCTGCTCAGCCTCGGAGGCCGCGCAAGTCAGCGAGCCGCCTGAGGGTCCTCGTGGGAGCTTCCTGGCACCTCCCCAGGGAGCTTTCCCCGCGGCGACCCCAGAGCTGCTGGGCGTCCGCACTGGCTTCCCCTGGACATTCTCTTCCTTTGCGCCTCCGGTCAGGCCCGCACGTGCCTCTCCAGAGACTTGGCGCCGCCGTCAGAGTGAGTCCAGCCCGGTGAGGCGGCGCCTCTGGTCCCGGGTCCACCGGTACCTCTGAAGGCCGCAGCTGTGCGGCTTCTGGACAGCTCCTCAGGGGCCATCCCTGAGCTTCAGAATTCCAAAACCGACACGCCACCTGGCAGTTAAGGGTTCGGAATCGTGAGCTCAGCCTGTTTCACAGAGGAGGACACTGAGGCCAGAACTGTCCGGGCCCCGGCCTCTCCAGGCAAGCACAAGGCTCCTTAGGGAAGCGGAGGGTCTGCAGCAGTGAGCTGGGCGCCCCCCTTCCCCGTGCCCAGGGCGCCTCAGCCCGGGCCTCGCCTGGAGGCCGCCTCTCCATAGCACCGCGCAATGGAGGCGTCGGGAGAGGGCAGGAGTGTTCCCGGGACCCAGCCTCGGGCTTTCGGGGTGGCACGTCTCCTGTCAGTGTTTTCTGAGCATGCTCGTTCTCAGGGTCCATCCTCAAAGAAGAAAACCGGGAGCGTGATGCCCAGCCCGAGGGACTTGCTTTTGAACAGTAACAATGATTTAATTAGAAGCTCAATCGAACGGTGTAAGGCCCCAATCGCCTCAGTGGCTTTTCGGGCTTCTGCGCCACGTTGGAAAGCGTGCCCGTGGAGCCGGCCTCACTCCCGCAGCTGTGGCCGGGGTTCCTTGCGAAGAAATGGCTGACTTTTCAAGTGTTAGTCCTGGGCACCTGGTGGCACATCTTCCCGGGGCCTGGCCTTCCACCGGAGGAGCGCCAAGATGAGAGAAGTCGCTTTGTCAGGGAAGCACGTCAGGGCGGAGCCCTCTGCAGGCTGCGGGATCGCAGCTCATGCCGCCTGTGCTTTGGGGGGCGGGGGTGCCTGCAGCCTTGGGCACAGGGCCCTCGAGGGAGAGCACATGTCCTTTGTCCCTAGGAGTCATTTCAGGATGATTTGAACTTGGTATTTTTTCATTCCAACATTCTTAAGGCCTTAGTAAGTCAAAGAATAAAATGAAAATGGCGAGTCTTCCTCATCTGATCAAGGCTGGCTGGAGCCTGTATGGAAGTGTGCGTGCGCTGCCCACGCTGGGCCTGTGGCTCAGCAGAGCGAGGGTCTCTGCTCGCTGAGGAGTGTGTGCAGGACGCGGCCAAGTCAGACCCCTGCGCCGCGGCTTCAGCCCCTCGCCCACCCAGCCGCCGGAGGCGGGCTTCTGCCCTGGGCGTGGCTTGTCACATGGGGCAGGTTTGGCGATAGGGGCTTCGTGCTCGTTAGTTGAGTTCATGTCATTGTGTAAATTTGGCAACTGCTGAGCTGTCCTCTTACTGCTCATTTTAACGTTATTCTTAGCCTAGATTGTGACATGGGGGCGAAGCCAGCTGTAGACTCAGTGCTGCAGTTTTCCTAGAAGCAGCGGGCTTGTGAGCGAGCCTCTGGGAGGTACTGGTGGGGAAGGCAGGTCCGTGAACTCGGTCGTCTAGGCTGGGCGCCCACGTTTCATTAACGCAGCCTCTAGAGGGCAAGGCTACCGTTACCTGCTCGGGATGTTCTAGCTGACAGCCCCTTAAGTCGCTGTAGCCAAGTGTGTTTTTCAGAACCCAGCCCCCAAGGCCTTGGGCTGGTGGCCCTGAGTGGACACTGCACAGGCACCCAGGAGGTGCGTCCGTTTGCTCGGGGGCCCGGGTGTGTTCCCCCGCCACCACTCCCCAGACCTCAGTGACCTCTCTGACAGGGAGTGCGCCAACCCTGGGAAGCTGGAGAAAGGGTGGGGCCGAGGGAAGCGCCGCATTCAGGCCTAGTGGTCTCTAAAGACACAAAGGGGACTAAAGCCCATGGCCCTTCGGTCCTCAAAGCCTCTGCTCCGGTTTCTGTTGGTGGTGGAAGGTGCCTGCCTCCTACAGGCCGCCCGGCCCGGGGCTCCCTCCCCTAGGATGTGCCCACACAGCGTGAGACACCCGGGGCTCCCAAGGCAGCTGCAGCGCTGACTGGCACTGCCCCTGCTCGGGACAGACTGCCATTAGGCCTCCCCAGCGCACCGGGCCCATGGTGGCTCCTCGAGCAGACAGTGCTCCTCCAGTTGTCATATCCGAGGAGTTCAAAGTCAGCCTGCAGGGCAGCGCGCCTGAGACTAGCGGGTGCTTTGAGCCTGACCGAGGCCGCGTCATGAGGCCTGGCACCACAGTCAAAGAGTTCTCCATGTCAGGGACGTACTGCCCCCCCCCACCCCCGCTCTTAGACCTGCTCCTCACTGCTCCCCGCCTGCCTTGCACGGCTGCCTCGCTGCCCACGCCTGCTGCGCTGGTGGGTTTTCTTTGCTGTGCGTGGGGGGTCACTGGGGTGTTGATGATTTACTTTGGTGTTCTGTCTCCCCTCCCTGGCTGTGCGGCTGCTGCCCACTGCTTGCCGCTCCATAGATCCCCGTTGCGCAGCCCTCTGTCATGGACGACATTGAGGTGTGGCTCAGGACCGACCTGGTGAGACTCCACTTTTCTCTTTCAAGTGTGGGGTGTGGCAAAGACAGGCCCAGGGACAACCCCAGGGGCTGCTCTGGAGGCAGGGGGGGAGGAGGGAGGAGGGAGGAGGGGCAGGGGTGGCTCCTGCCACCACCAGAGCCTCACAGCTGGCATGTCCTCCACTCCTGTGGCCTCGGCCGCCGGCCCTGGCAGAGCTGGCCCTCAGCTGGCCCCCGCTGGCTCCAAAACACCCCTGCGCTCTCCCCAGATACTTTTCGTTCAGGTTTGTGCGCTTGAGTTCTGTTTTTTTATTTTCTGCTTGTTTTTTTTTTGTGTGGGATTTTCTGTTTTTGAGGGTTTGTTTTTTGGTTTTCATTTCTTTTAATTGTGACATATACACACAGATGAATGGGATGTTTTTGTTTGTTTTTTGTTGTTTTTTTAAACCTCACCCAAGGGTACTTTTTCCATTGACTTTTAAAGAGTGGGAGGGAGGGAGAGAGGAAGATTGAGAGAGAGCATCACTGTGAGAGAGACAAATTGATCAATCGCCTCCGGCGTGAGCCCTGTCCTGGGCCGATCTATCCTGCAACCCAGGTACATGCCCTTGACCAGGAATCAGTGCACGGGGCAATGCTCTAACCACTGAGCACACAAGCCAGGGCTGTTTTCATTTTAAATCCACTGTCACCCTGGCTGGTGGGTCTCAGTTGGTTGGAGCATCCTCCCAGGCACCGAAGAGTTGCTGGTTCAATTCCCAGTCAGAGCGCATGCCTAGGTTACAGGTTCAATCCCCAGAGGGGGTGCATATGAGAAACAACCAATCGATGTTTCTCTCTCTCTCTCCCCCCCCCCTCTCTAAAATCAATAAAACAGATCCTCAGGTGAGGATTTAAAAAAGAAAAATGCACTGTTGCCTCCCTGCTCTAGTATCTTCTGGTGTCTTGCCCCCAAGAGAACACCTGCCCCAGAGACCATGTCTTTGTCCCAGAGACAGGGCAGGACGATGAGGACGCGGCACCTGCCCGTGCGGCCAGTCCTGAGGAAGGAGGCCTCACCCGCCCGCCCCTCCCCACAGAGCACTTGTACTCTCCGCAGCCTCTGGGAGGCGGGTGGAGGGTGTTGGCGGACCGATGCAGAAATGTTCTGTGGCAGGGAAGTGGCTGCCCAAGCCATGGGTGGGGCTGGCTGGGTCCTTTCCCAGACCTGGAGGCACCTCATCTCTTGCTCCCAGCCATCTCCATGCCGGGGCCTTGGTCGCCCGCTGGCTGCAGGCCATGGTGTGGTCCCTCCCACGGGGATGGAGACCTGAGACAGGGCTTCCCATGTGCCAGGTCACCTCCCTGGAGGCCAGGTGTCCCAAAGACACTCCGCCGCCCAGGTGCCTTGCCATGGAGGAAGAAAATGTCTCATATCTACCCCAGGGAACGCCCAGAAAAGAAATAGCTTCTCTCCCAGAAGCCCTCAGCTCACAGGGGGACCAGGGGCGGAGGGGTGCTCTCCAACAGAACTGCAGGCAGGGCAGCGGCAGAGCCAGAGGCGTCTCCCGCCATCCGTTCCCCCTCCACTCCCCGCCAGCTCTCCTCTCCTCCGTTCTGTCTGCGTAGTGACTGAGTTCCAAGTGGCCGCCATGTTCTCCAAACAGAAGCAAGTCTGACCCACTCTCATTGTTAAGAGGTCACAGCTCTAAGGTGGTGGGGTGCAGGCCGTGGCTTCATGGCTCTGCCGCTTCCCGCCCTCATGTGGCCCCATGGACAGCAACTTCCCAGAGCCCTGAGCTGCGTGGAGAGCCGCTGAGGGTCCCGGCGCCTGGGGACAAAGGCCTTCCTGGGCCTGCACGCACACAGTGCGGCCCCGAGAGCCAGCTTGCACCTTTTTCTGGATTTTTCTTTTGGGCCCTACTGAAGGGTCAAAACCTAGAACCTACTCAAGTGGTTCATGTTTTTGCTTTTTAAAAACAAAGTTTCTGCTTCTCCAAGAAGATGAGCAGTACTTTGCTGTCACAGAACCCTGGGGACAGGAAGTAGGAAGCGTTGCTGGGACAGTGGGGGCAGTGGGACGGCAGGGTGGCAGCGGGAGACGGGCCTGCTGGGGCTGACCTGTGCTCTGCTCCCCCCGCAGAAGGGCGACGACCTGGAGGAGGGCGTCACGAGTGAAGGTACGGCCTGGCCAGCTGCTTGGCAGCTTACCCCCCGGGGCCGGGGTGCACAGGGCCTGCACCCCACCACCTTGGAGCCTTCACCCTGGAGCACTTCCTGGTGCCTGGCCTAGGCCGGGCCCTGGGAGCGGAGCTTCTTGTCTCTTCATCCAGACCTCGTGCTGATGGGGGACGTCAGAGCCGTCCCAGCCAGCATGGCGCCCACCCGTCACGCTCAGCCCGCAGAGGCAGCACAGGGCACGCGGGCCTGGTGCCCATGGCCTCCCTTCTGGGGGCAGTGACACGGGTCCTGTGGGGAAGTTCCCAGCACGTCCCCCTCCCCTCCCCCTGTCCCCCTCCCCTCCTCTTGTCCCCCTCCCCCTGTCTCCCTCCCCTGCCCCTGTCCCCCTCCTCTCCCATCTTGCCTCCTGGACCTCCTGTTGGGCCCACCAGCCTTTCCCTGTGCTGCTCCCTCCCTCACGGCCCCCTGCTCAGATCCCTGTAGGCTTAGAGCCCTGCTCCTGGGGGTGGGAGGGGGGGCCTGCCAGGTCTCAGCAGGACCACCACCAGCCCCCTGCCCTGCCTCCAGGGCTGGTCTGGAGAGTGGGACAGTGGCAGCTGGGAGGGAGGAATCTGAATTGTCAGCCTCGCCCCGCCCCTGCAGGGGAATCGGGGTTCCCAGGCAGCACAGCCCCCTGGCTCTGGCTGTGGGCCTGTCACTCTGCTCCCTCCCAGGCAGTGACCCAGGGGCACGAGTGAGTGGGCTCCATGGTGCAGGCGTAGCTGTTTGAGCCCCCACCAATCCTGGCTCCCGCCCTGGTTTTGTTTGCAGAGTTTGATAAATTCCTTGAAGAAAGGGCCAGAGCTGCTGAAATGGTTCCCAACCTGCCCTCGCCCCCAGCGGAGGCGCCCAGCCCAGCCGCCAACCCCTCCAGCCAGAGGAAGCCCACGCGCTCCGAGGACGCCCTCTTCGCCCTGTGAGCTGGTCTGTGGGTTGGCTCCCAGATGGCAGGTCACCTGTCTCCCCCCAACCAGGCACCGGCCACTCCTCCCGTCCCCAGCCCCACTCAGTCCTCAGTCCTGCGCTGCTGTCTCCATGGAAATGCCACTGTGTTTGCTCCCAGGCCTCCCACTAGTCAGGACGGCCTCTCTGGGAGGTGGGGCAGCTGCAGCCAGCGGGTCCCTAACCGCCCCCCACGCTCTCCCCACAGGTTCCCCCACTGTCTCCTCCGGGGGGCCAGCCTCGGGACAGTCAGTGCCCTGGGACTGGCTCCTGAGCAGACCCTGGGGCTGTCTCTCCTCTGGTCGCTTTCATCACTCAGCAGCGAGCCTAGACCAAGGCGTCCACACAGCCCACACTCTGCTGGCCGGGGGGAGCCAAGGGTATGGGGAGGGCAGCCCAGGCCACTGGACAGTGGGCACCGGCACCTGCTTAGCTCCTGTGGAATTGCACTCCACTGCAGCCCTACTGTGTGCTTCCCTCATGCAGTGCCCGTCTGGGGGGTGGCACGGGAGGTGTCACTCTGCTAGCTTGGGCAAGTTTGTGGGCGTATGAGCATGCCATGCTTGGGGCTTTGGCCTGGCCTTGGCAGCCTCTGCCCTGCCTCCAGGCCTCCCTCCAGACAGCTGGGCCAGGCTTGCAGACCCAGAGCCTGCAGGGCCAGAGCAGCACTGAGGCTCCCGCTAGCTCCTGGCACGGCCCCAGCCTCTCCACAGGCTGTTCTGACATCCTGACCTCCCTCCCCAGACCCCAGCCACGATGTGTATTCTCTCCCAGCCAACCCAGCAGCTAACAACCTGGGGCCGAGTCCTCGCTGGGTGTCTCCCGGCCCTGGGTGAGGCGCACAGAGCCTGACCCACGCCGGGCACGGAACTACGGCGCAGCAGCTCAGCGCCGCCCGTGACCTCGGGGCACAGGTCAGTGTCCGGCGCGCACTGCCCAGGTGCTGGGGTCAGACATGGCCAGGCCACTGTGTCCCCAACCCAGGGCGCAGCCTTTCCCGCCCGGGGTGCAGGTGGAGACGTGCTGCAGGCTCGGACCAGCCCGGGCCACGCTGAACACCCACAGGACCCTTCCTGGTGAGAAGCGAGGCGTGCCCCCCAGAGCCCGTGCCCAGTGTGGGCCGCTGCAGCCTCCTCCAGAAAAAAGGCTTTGGGGCCAGGCCGGGGCCGTCTGGCAGGACCAGCAGGGGACACCCAGGAAGCACTGGGAGCTTGGCCGCAGCTTCCAGCCCTGCATCTCTGGCTGCACTCACCCCTGCACCCGGCGGTGGCACGCAGCTCTCCTTGTCCTGAGGGAGCTCTCCGAGGCCAGCCTGGAGGCCACACGCCGGAAGTCCGCTGGCTGGTGGCAGTGGTACCCAGCAGCCCCGCTGCGTCCTGGCCTGAGCCGGGGCCTCGGGGCCACTCCTGCAGGAGCCACAGCACCACCCGCGTGCTCGGAGCAGAGCCAGCCTCCTGTCTTGCTGAGGGGCTGAGGGAGAGGAGGCTGCCGGCAAGGAAGCACGCACCTGCCTTGGGAGGCGCAGCCCTCACACCGCGGGCCAGAGCGCCCCCTGCAGCGGGCAGCAGGTGGTGTGGTGGGCTCCGGTGGGCAGCAGGAAGGTGCTGGCCCAGCAGAGCAGTCACCAGCCCCAGCCTGGAGCCACCCCTCCCGCTCACACAGCATGTCCAGGGCCGCCTGCCTACCTCGAGGCTGCAGTGGCCTCGCTCGAGGCCTCACAGGAAGCGGGAACAGGCCAGGCACCTCGAGGGGCTGCTCAGCCCTCCTGCGCCCTCGCAGCTTCTGGACCCCTTCCTGGGGACCACAGCCCTCAGGCCCCTGTTTGGGGCGGGGGGGCCCTGGGAGGAGGCTGGCGGGGCCCCCCAGAGAGGCAAGAGGACCCTCGCAGCCGCCAGTCCCACCAGGTCAGAGGTCAGACACTATGTGCTCAGTTACACTAAGTTATTCCTGGGAGTCCTTGTCAACACTAATTATACCTGGTTACAGGTTAAAATATTTATTTTGTCACAATGTTTCCCTGGGGTGTGTGGGACCTTTTCTGTGTTCGTTGTGCTGAGATGTGAAGACCAGCCGCTCCCTCCGGCCTGCCTCCGGGCGGTGGGCAGCAGAGGGCCAGCACAGCATGCGGGACCGGTCAGGGCTTCGTGAAGGGCTGGTGCTGCCTGGGCCAGCCTCCCGCCTGTCGGCCTCAGTGTCGGCGAGGGGCTGCCTGTCCGAGGCCTGCCTGGGCTCGCTGCCCTGCCCGGCCCTTCCTCACCCGGGGTCCCAGCCAGGGGCCCGGGGTGCGCGTGCTGTCACTCAGGTCCCCGGCTGGGAGGCCGGGGCAGGGCTCAGTCCACACTCCCGCTCCTCCTCTTCCTTCCTGCCGACACCCCCAGTTCGCCTCCACACACACAATGCTTCTCACTCAGTCCAGCCCCGCCTTCCGGAAGTTTCCAGGATGCTGTGGGCCCGCTAGGGAAAAGCGCCGCAGAGGGGCCGTGCTCTCCCCGGCCTCGGGCCACCCACCGTGAGCCTCGCCACCTCCCCAGCCAGCAGATGCCCAGTGCTGCCCGTCTCCCTGTAGCGCCACCGCGGTCCCCGGAGCCGCTGCTGCCCTGGCCTCCGGGCTGTCCTAGAGAAAGGGACGGACATTAACGCCTACAGTTCGCGCTCATGTGTGAGGCTCGGGGTTGCGGGACCACGGGAAGGAGTGTGTGGTGTGGTCCTTCATCCCAGGAGCCTGTGTGGTCAGTGCCCAGCAGACTGGTCTGGAGGCGGGTCTTGCATGTAAACTACCCCCAATAAACAAACAGGTGGTTCCTGTGAACGCTGTGGAGTCGCTGTGACTCGGCACCGCAGGGCCTGCCGCCTGGTCCTAGGCAGGGCGTCCACAGGCGGGGCGAGGGTGGAGCAGCCTGGCCCCCCCCCCTGCCTGGGACGGGGTGGTGGCGGCTGGAACCGCCTGCACAGCCTGCCTGAGCGCTCTGGGCCGGCGGCGGCCCCGTCGCCCATCCCATGTCAGGGAGCACTCATGCCCACCTGGAGCACTGACTGGAGCGAGCCGGCCTGAGCCGCCCCGGTTCCCTCCACTGGGCTCCCCAGCCGGCCGGCCTCGCGCCTTCCACAGCGCGGTGCTGGGTGCCCTTGTAACGGCGTCATGGAGACGGTTCACAGCGCACATTCACTCAACGTGGACAACTGGGGGCTTTCTAGTCTGTTCTCAGAGCTGCACACGGTCACGCAGCCCGCGAGAGCACCGTCCTCACCCCCCAGTGAGCCCTGCCCTCGCCTAGAGTGCTTCTCTCGGGTGCTGGGAGCTGGGTACCTGGACTTGCTGCCAGGAAGGGCCGCCTCCGAGAAGCAGGCCTCGGCCCGTGAGGGGATGCTGGAAGCCATGGTGCTGCCCCTTCTCGGAGCGGCTCGGGGAGTTTTGCCTGGTCCAGCGGTCGGCAAACCGCGGCTCACAGCCACATGCGGCTCTTTGGCCCCTTGAGTGTGGCTCTTCCACAACATACCACATGCGGGTGCGCACGTACAGTGCGATTGAAACTTGGTGGCCCACGCACAGAAGTCGGTTTTAGGAAAGGAGATCGACGAAACAAGCATACAAGACGGGTGTGGATGGGAGAGTTGGAAGGGGTCGACCTCAGCGAACGTACCTCAATCAGATTGAGGACGTTTTTAGCAAAGGCCAGCTTAGGAGTCCCCTGATTAAGTTAATAACAATGTACCTACCTATATAGTTTAAGTTTAAAAAATGTGGCTCTCAAAAGAAATTTCAGTCGTTGTGCTGTTGCTATTTGGCTCGGTTGACTAATGGGTTTGCCGACCACTGGCCCAGTCCCTTCTCCTCCCTGAGGTCTAGGATGGGCTCCAAGTGGGGGAGACCCATCAAACAGCAGGCAAACCTGGAGTCAACGCAGGGACGCCTGCTCACCCTCTCGTGCACGTGGAGAAATGAGGTCTGGCCCTGGCTGGTGGCTCAGTGGTTGAAGCATCGGGTTTAATTCCTGATCAAGGGCATGTACCTGAGTTTCCGGTTCTCTCCCACCCCCGTTGGGGCGAGTGCAGGAGGCAACAAGCGGATGTGTCTCTCTCACATCCCCTGCCCTCCCTTCTACTCTAAACCTCCATGGAAAAGATATCCTCGGTGAGAACTAGGAGACGGGAGGCCGGGGACAGCCGTCACTGGCCAAGGCCGCACAGGGCCAGCAGCAGATCCAGCGCTCACGGCCAGGCTCCGGCCCGGCTCTCCGGAGCGGACGGAGAGATGCCATCTCCTGGCCCAGGACGCCCGCAGGGTCGGGGCGGGCAGCGGGGCGCTCAGGAGGGGATGCCCTGCCTGCCGCAGGAGCAGGGGCTGTGATGGCGGCCACAGCAGGACAGCCAGGGCCTCTCTGGGCGCGAGGGAGCTGCAGAGGCCCTGCCTGTGATGGCCAGGCCGAGCCAGACGGAGGACCGAGGCCCCACACGGGGACAGGGTGGCCTGGGAAATGAGCCCACCATCCCGCCCTGTGCGGGCCTGTGTGAGGCACTGTGGGCACCCAGAGAGGCCTGAGCTGTGTCCCGGGCCGGGGGAGGGGCTGAGACACCCCAGTGTCTTTGCCAGGACATCTGGTCCCCCTGTGCCTTCAGCCACGTGCCCAGAACTGTGGTGAGCCAGGCAGTGCTGTCTGCAGCCGCTCCCTTCCCAGAACCAATTGATCAAAAGACAGCTCCCTGTCTTTCCATGCTCAGAACCAAGGGCAGGCCTGGAGCCCCTCCTGGGGCGGGGGGGCGGGGGAACAGGAAGCCTGGAGCCCCTCCTGGGGGGGGGGGCAGGGGCAGCCAGCCATGCCAGGGAGGAAATCACTCAACTCTGACCCAACTGACCAGGCTCTGGGGCCCTCACTAGCCCTGGTGGGACTGGCAAGATGCGTTTTCCCAGCAGGTTAACAGCCGCTCCTTAATAAGGGGAGGCCTGTGGGTGGGGTGGGGAAGCAAGGGGAGGCCTGGGGGGGGGGTGGGGAAGGAAGGGGAGGCCTTGGGGGGGGGGGGTTGGGGGAGGAAGGGGAGGCCTGGGGGTGGGGTGGGGAAGGAAGGGGAGGCCTGGGGGTGGGGTGGGGAAGGAAGGGGAGGCCTGGGGGGGCGGGTTGGGGAAGGAAGGGGAGGCCTGTGGGGGGGGTGGTTGGGGAAGGAAGGGGAGGCCTGGGGTGGGGTGGGGAAGGAAGGGGAGGCCTGGGGGGGGGATTGGGGGAGGAAAGAGAGGCCTGGGGGGAGTTGGGGAAGGAAGGGAAGGCCTGGGAGGGGGGTGTTGGGGAAGGAAGAGGAGGCCTGGGGGGGGGGTTGGAGAAGGGAGGGGATGCCTGGGGGGGAAGGGGAGGCCGGGGGGGGGGGATGTTGAGGAAGGAAGGGGAGGCCTGGGGGGGAGTTGGGGAAGGAAGGGGAGGCCTGGGGGGGGTTGGGGAAGGAAGGGGAGGCCTGGGGGGGGTTGGGGAAGGAAGGGGAGGCCTGGGGGGGAGTTGGGGAAGGAAGGGGAGGCCTGGGGGGGGGTTGGGGAAGGAAGGGGAGGCCTGGGGGGGGCGTTGGGGAAGGAACGCTGGAGCAGTTAGGCAGTCAGGACCCCCCCTTTAAGGTCAGAGGAGTGTGAGTCCAAACTCCCCATAGATGTGGCACATTGGAACTTACTTTGTGGCAGAAAGAGGCGACTTGCTGGGAGGAATGTATTGGCAAATGTGACTGAAAAGTGGGAGGGTTCAGCTTCCGTACAGCTGTGCCCCTGCGCTCGGCCCTGCGTCCTGCAGCTCCGCGGAGCCTGACCGCCCTGGGCCAGGCTGCGCAGGGAGGATGAGAGCTGGGGAAGCGGCTGAGAGTGGTCAGGGCCCCGTGGAGGCGGCACAGCCAGGACAGAGACTCCCTCCGCCTTGTCTGCCTCCAGGAGCTCTTGGCGCTCCCAGGGCTGCTTTCCAGCCACAGCCTCCCCCCAAGGTCTGGGCGGGCAGCGGGGAGCCCTATGACGCTGCCACGGCTCCTGGCTCCCTGCCTACTAGTCCCCCTTGGAAACACCTAGAAGGGGTCTGTTTACAGCCACCTCTTTTCTAAAGAGGGTCTCTTTTGAGTCCTGAGGGGCGGGGTGGAAGCAGAGGCCCTCCACAGGCGTGAGGCACCAGGAGCTCCAGTTTCCTCCCAGCCCGCTCAGTGGCCTGTGCTCTGAGTGGGCCTCCGCACTGGGGTCAGTGAGATGTTTCTAAACTCAGCGGACTCCTCCATCTGGGGCTGTCTCCTCCTTACCCCGTGCCCACTCTAAGAGCCCCCTACTGGTGCATCCTCACTGTAGGTCCCTAGCAAGTCATTGCCCAGGCCTCCACTCCCCTGATCTGAAAGGGGAGCCTGGGGGGAGCCCAGGGCCTGCATTGCTGGATGGAGGGCTGGGTGTGAGACTCGGTGGAGGGCCTGTGGGACGCTCCAGCCTGGCTGGCCCGAAGGGCGCCAGTCAGGGAGTCCAGCCTTGCTCAGCAGTCCCGTTGTGAAAGAACAGCCAGAACCCAGCCTTCTGTGAGACCTACAGGACCCAGGTGTAGTCGAATTCGACCTTCGGGGCCCCGTTCACTCTCCCTGCCACCAACTTGACCCACCCCATCCTGTGACGTCCCTCAGTCTACCCCTGGCCTCTCCCCAAGCAGCCAGTCAGCCCCACGGGACAGACGTCTCTCCTCATTCGTCATGTCGGTGAGCCTCACTCCTCACCACGCACAAGACTGGGGTCCAGCCAGCTCTTCGGGAGGGCCCACTGACTGTGTTCTGATGGCTGAGAGGCCGGAAGTAACCTGCTGGGTGTCTGGACTGAGGACACAGGCCATCTGGACCAGAGCCAGCTACATCTACAGCCACCGGTCCGATTCTGTTCAAATGGAAAAGGGAGGGAGGGGGTGCCAGGGCTCCGGCTGCCCTTGTGCTGCTCGGCCCCCGCGGCCATATCCCGGGCGGGTCTGGCTTAGCTCCTGCGGAAGCCAAGTATAAACAGGGCAGGCGGGTGGCGGGGCCCTCGGGGTGGAGAGGCGGCTCAGTAGCCACCTAGGCAGTGCCAGGTGGCCAAGCCCAGCCTTCTTGTGCACTGCCTGCCCCTCCGCCTGAGTGGGCATGGCTTGGCACGAGTGACCTTGGCAGAAGCCCTGCCTGTGCTGGACACCTGCCTTCACTGGCCTGGGACCCACAGAAGATGCCTCTCACCCTGAGACGCTCAGGGAAAAGGGAAGAGGTGCCCCCTATTGCACAGTTGGCAAAGCCAAGGTCATACAGGGAGGGCTGGGCTTTTGGACCACAGTCCCAAGGGCTGGAGGCCTTGGGGTGGAGGGTAGGGCCACTTGGGTCAGCCCTCCCCGAGTCTCCAGGACACCAGGACACACCTGGCGGCAATCCCGGCCACATGTGGGGCCTGGAAGCCCTGCCAAGAAAGCAGGCCCAACTGGCCCCAGACCCTGCCAGCCGGCACCATGGCCCTCCCCTCCCCCAGCTCGCACAGGCGAAAAGCATGTGACCCAGGGCCTGGCTCCCAGGAGTTTCTCTCTGACGTCCCATGTCACCCCACTCCAGGCAGAGAGCCCATTGGCTGTGCCAGGGCTTCGGGGCGAGGCTTGTCTGGCTCTGTGCCCCAACTCCCCCTGGGTCTCCAGTGGCTGCCCTGCGCCAGCCCACTGGGTGACAAGCCAGCCCGCTCCTCAGGTTGCCAGACTCTGCCATGCTCATGGGCAACAGGGCTGTGGACTCCGGGCAGGCCACTTCACCTCCCCGCCTCGGTCTCCACATCTGTGAACTGGGCCTCACAGCCCGCCCCTGCTAGAGGGTCAATGTGGGCGAGCACTGTGGTCTCAGGCAGCCAGGGCCAGCTGCCACCCTGACTTCTAGGCACACAGGACAGAGGGGCGCCCCCATGGCTTGAGCCCGGCACCGGCACCTGTGTGAGTTCAGCTTCCCAGCCAAGAGGGGCCTGAGAGCTGGTCCTCACCTGGACACCTCAGGCTGTGGAGCTACTAGTAAGTTTTGTATCTTTGGTGGAAAATATAAATATTTAAACATTTCCCTGCCCGCCCTCCACATGTTTAAAGAAGCTTCCGTTTCAACTGGTGTTTCTGATCTGGGCTTCAGGTCTCCTGTTGACGAACTCCGAGGGAGGGTGCACGTCTACTGAGCCACGCTCTACATACGCGGTAAACTCACTCAGAGAAGTGAGGCAAGTCTGTTGTGACAGCGAGTCCATCGCCCCTGCCTGTCTCTGCGGATGGTGGTAGGGAGGGCTATTCTCACTGTAGCAGAGACTCAGGAAGGCGAAGGAAGCGGTGCCAGGTCACCCAGCCAGTAAGTGAAAAACCAGTCTAGCTTCCGGGCTCTGAAGAAAGTGGCCGTTAGGCTCGCCCAGCAGCCCTCCTCCCCCACCAGCCCTCCCTGGGAAGCACTGCTAGAATGTTTAGGGAAGTCACCAGGTGGCAAAAGCCTCTTCTCCGAGGCCAGGCCCTGGCGGGCTCCTGGGCAGGGCCACTTTGGGAGGGGAGTGTGGTTTGGATCCCCCGTGGCTCCTGGCCACCCATTCTGGGTAATTTCCCACAGCAGCCACTTCCAGGAGGGGAACAAAGAGAGCTGGGCGTCCAGTATGCCACTAATTTTACTCCTTCGGAAGATGTGGCCAGACGGGCTAAATCTAGAATCTGAGCAAGACAGCATTCGGGATGGATGACTCACTGAGGCCAGGGCAACGAGGGACTGGGGGTCCAGGCTTCTCCCTGGCTGCCCTCCACCAAGGGCGCTTTCTCTGCTTGCATTCCTCCGGGGACAGGGAGCTCCCTGACTTTCCATGCTCAGATATCTGAATGTTCCGGTTTATTGCAATCCACTTCACTGGAGCCCCTCCCCGCCTGTCCCAAAACACGGGCCTAGGGTGCGACTCCGGTCCCCTCCCCGGCCCCAGCCTGTCCACCCAGAGCAACCTGCTCCCGTCTCACGCACGGTCTGCCTCTTCTCTGACCCCATCCTGGCTGCTCCCAGGGACAAGCACAAGGCTGGCGCCAGAGAGCCCTGGGCCCGGCCCTGCCGTGTCCCTGTGGAGCGTGTGGTCCTGGGCAAGTTGGATCCTTAGGACCCTCTGGTCTTCCTGTCCTGGTACCGAGGTCAGGCCACCTGAAGGGGCTGGACTGAGCCAGCTGGCCCCAAGCCCCTCTGCCTCCCCCGCAGCCAGCCAATGAGGGAGGAGAGCAGATTAAGTCCTCCCAGGCCCACTGGGGACCCGAGGAGACTGGGGAGCCGGTGGACCTGCCCCCAGACCCCGTGTCATCGCCAAGGGCATCACTGAGGAAACTGAGGCACGGAGTGGTGACGCAGGGAGCTCTGTCGGACGGCCTGTCTGGTCCTAAAGACCCACATCTAGGAGGGAGGTTCTGGGCGTCCCGGCTGCCACTCAGCCTTTGCTCAACGCGGAGGGAAGCGCTGCCCGCCGGGGGCTCCGCGGGCCGGAGGGGCGCGGGCTGGGCGGGGGCCTGGCGGACGGACGCAGAGCCGGTCGCCGAGCCTCCAGGTGGGGCGGGGCCGCCAGGGGCGGGGCCTGCGCGCCAGCCCGCCCGCCGCCCGGGAGCCGCCGGGACCCAGAGTCCGAGGAGCTGCGCGGGGCCGGGCGCCGGGCCCGGGGGACGCAGCGCTCGTGCGACAGCCGTGCCCGCCGGGCCGACCCGCGGCGACCGCGCCATGGACGAGCCGCCCTTCGCGGCCCTGGAGCGGGCGCTGGCCGAGCCCTGCGAGCTGGACGCGGCGCTGCTGACGGACATCGAAGGTGCGTCGGGGCGCGGAGCCGCGGGGCCGGCTTTCCCGGGCGGGGCGCCCCGCGTGTCCGGATGGCGCGGCTCAGGCCCTCGGGGTGCGCGGCCGGGACACGTGCGCCCTGGGCGTCCCGGGCCCCAGGCCGCGCGACCCGGGAGTCCTCAGCCCTGAGCTGGGGACCCGGCCTCGCGAGGCCCCGCCCGGTCCCCGTGACGTCGCGCGGGGTTACTGGCGGTCAGTCCCCGGGGCGAGAGTGCGCCCTGCGCGCCGTCCCCGCCCTGCGCCCTGCGCCCTCCGCGCGGGCGGGCTCCGTGGTGGAGGCGCGCAGCCCTGTGGGTTCCAGGCCCGTCTCCGACAGGGGCTCACACAGCTGGGCGCCGCCCTTGGGGCGCAGGAACCCCCGGAGCAGAACGGACACTGAGGGCTCGTTGCCCTGGGGTGGAGCAGGGTGGGCCACTTGGTAGGGCGCCGGCCTCAGACCTTTTGGAGCGGACGGTGGGGCTGAGGCTCCGGGCCCAGCTGAGGAGGATGTTTCCCACCCCGCGCCCCGCGGCGCAGGCCTGGCCAGGAGCTGGGGCCCCGCGGGGAGGGTGGGGAGAGTGGGGAAGGGCCCCGGGGCCGGGCCTGCGGGCCGGGAGGGCGGTGCGCGAGCTGGGTATTTGCATCCTTTAAAGCATCAGCGCTGCTTGTAGGAGAAGGGGTTTGGGGACCCGGGAGCAGTAGGTGCCTAGGAGGTTGTTGCCTCACTTCGCAGCCGGGCAAACGGAAGCTCCAGCAAATTGCCCTCCATGGTTGTGCGCAGGTTCAGCAGCTCTGGCCGAGTTGCACTTGGCTGATGGGGAAACTGAGGCCAACAGCTCAGGACTCTCACTCCCCACAACCTGGATGGACGTGTCCCAGCACCTGCTGCCCCCGGATTCGCAGCACAGTCGCATCCGCTGCTGCCTCGCTGCCCCTCAGGCCAGGCGGGCGGGCCCAGAGGGGAGCCCTGACCGCTGTCCAGGGAGAGCAAGCCGGATTGGACTCAGTCATAGCCCGCAAGTGGGGCTCAGTGGGTGGAGCCTGGACGGCGCTTTGACCAAGTGGCGCAGACCTGGGCTTTGGGGTCAGGACTTGAATCTGGACACAAGCCCTCTCACACCCGGATCCCCAGTTTCCCCCTCTGGATTCCAGTGCTCCCTTCAAATCAGGGCAGGTGTGTCTGGTTACAGGTCTGGCACAGACCTTTCTTGTTGACTCGTTTATAGAAACATTCTCCCCTGGACCCAAAGGCCAGGATTGGGCAGCCATGAGGGTGGGGGCAACTGGAGATCAGGCGAGGCCCCTGCTCTAATCTGAGGGAAAAAGAACAACTGGCCTGTTGCTGGGGTGGACTCAGCCCCAGCGCCGGTCTGGCTCAGGAGACACGGGACCCACTTCCAGTTGCTGGCCCTGCCGTGGAGAAACTCGTGGCCGTTTTCAGAATGTGGGCCCCCAGCTTCTGGTGTGGGAGGGGTGGGGGTAGGGGGTGGGGGGTGGGACGGGTAGAAAAAGAAGAGGCAGCCTCAGAGAGGCCTGGAGCCTTCCAGGCTGCAGACCTACCTCACCGCCCCCTCCGCCTAAGAGCCACCACGCTGCCCTGGTGCCACTGCCCAGAGCCACCACCGCTGGCCACGCCAGCAGGACTCCCCCCATTGGATTGGACATAAGGGTTGCCACTGCAGCAGAGCATTTCTTGTTTGCTATTCAGCCTTTTCTGCTTTCCCCCCAGTTTACACAGCTAAGTTCTTTGCGTCGTAGAAAAATTAGAAAGCACAGGTGAGCAAAAGGAAGAAAACACAACCTTCCTTAAACCTGCTGCCACAGAGAAGCTCTGTTAGTCACGTGCGCCTGTACAAGCTTTTTGGTACACTCGCGGTCCGCCTTTTGTTGGGGTATAATTAACCTATTGTAAGATTTACCCATTTTTAGGTACAATTCAGTGAGTTTCAGTAAATTCGCCGAGTTGGGTGAGCATCCCCAGTTGGTCGAAGAACATTTTCATCTCCCCGAAAGGTCACGCTGCCTACGGACAGCTCCCGGCCGCCAGCCCCGGGCAGCCACTCACCGGGACTTTTAGAAATCGGAAGAGAGCCTGTGTCACCTGCTTTGTTTCATGCCAACAGTCAGACAGCAGTCGGGGTCCCCGGCTTATTCCTCTGTCCCCACGGAGGGACATCTAGCTTGTTCCATTCTCATGAGCCACGCAGCAGCGGGCACTCCCGGCCACCCTGGCCTGGAGGCTTCCTCACGTCTTCCATAGACAGGCGGGGGCTCCGGGGGAGGAGCTGCTGGTCTGAGGCGGCTGCTTACCCTGAGCTCAGAGCTGGGCAGGTTTGATAAGGTCTAGAGCAGTGGTTCCCAACCTTCTGGCCCTTTAAATACAGTTCCTCATGTTGTGACCCAACCATAAAATTATTTTCATTGCTACTTCATAACTGTCATGTTGCTACTGTTATGAATCGTAAAGTAAATATCTGATATGCAGGAGGGTCTTAGGCGATCCCTGTGAAGGGGTCGTTCGACCGCCAAAGGGGTCGCGACCCACAGGTTGAGAACCGCTGCTCTAGAGAGAGGTGGCTTGAGGGTGTGGAGGGCAGGGTCTCCAGGTCCCCTGCCAGGACGCAGGCTGAGAACGCAGGGGAGGTGTTGGCAGGTGGCTGGAGCAGGGCTTGGGTTGCTTGTCATCAGCTTCCTCTGGTGGCTGGGGTGGAGGGGCATAACACAGTAGGGAGTTAGCTGAGCACCGACTGTGTGCCAGGCGCTGTGCTGACGGTCGAGTCCTCCCGACACCCTCAGTGGACAGACTTCGGGTCTTCCTGTAGATGAGTGCCCTGAGGCACAGCCAGAACGTGGCAGAGCCGGGGTTCAGACCCAGGCCGTGCGCTCCTAAGCGTGGGGTTAGGGGTGGGGAGAGTGGGCAATAGAGCAGGAAACCCAAGAGGCTGCTCCGTGCGGGGTTGTGCTGGGGCCTGGGTCAGGGAGGTGTCAGACGCCGCAAGGCCACCTCCCTCTCCCAGCCCAGAGTGGCCTTGGAGTCATGAGACAGGTCTGGCACCAGCCTCGGGCCTCGAGCCCCGCCCTGCCGGCCAAGCCGTCTGTCATGTGACTGGTCTTGGCCCAGCTGCAGTGGCCTGTGTGCTGTGGGTCAGCTCTGCCCTGGCGACAGTCCCATGAGCTCCTTCTCCCGGCCCCTGCTCGTGCTCTGTGCTTTGGGGTGCCCAGCGGCCGTGGGCAGAGGGACTTGAGTGCCGCTACACGTGTTTGGACCAGTTGATTGCTCAGATCGTCACACGCTGCGGTTGAGCAAATGGAGATGAGCGCTAGGCAGGCCCCAGCCACCAGGGCGGCCCCGGCTGAGGGTCCCCGAGGCTCTGGTTTGCCCAAAGCCTGTGGTGGCTCACGTCTGCTCCGCGTGCCTCTGTGTGTCACACCCCGGCCGGACAAGCTGGTGTGCCTTTCTGGCCCATTCCCTCCACCCCTCCCGGCAGTGCCCTCTGGAGCTCTCTCGGCCCTGGGGTCCCTCCCAAGGTGCCTAAACCAACACAGGGAGCCTTGCCGCCCAGGCCCAGCCCATGTATGGCTGACTGTTCTGGATTCAGGCCAGCCCTGGTGCTGAGGACAGTGGGGGCCACACTGCCATCTGGCACCTCACCCACCATAGCTTGTGCCCACTTCTCTCCCTGGTGCCTCTAAACACAGCCCCTTCCAGAAAACACTTGAGACTGCCTCCTGCCCAGCTCCCAGCTCCAGGCACATAATTCCCCAGTTCCTAAACCACCCATGGATCCCAGTGCCCCCGAGACAAAATTCCTGTGCCAGCATGGCCTGCAGGGCGTGAGCATGCCCTCCGGTGCCCTGTCATCCAGCGCTGCCCTGGCCTCCCGCTCCCCCTGCTGTGGTGCGGCGCCCTCCGCAGGCAGCGCCTGCTGGCTCTCCTCGGGAGAGTGCCTGCCTCTCTGAGCTGCAGGGCCCCCTGGGAGGCAGGAGGTAGAGGCTGTAAGATGTTCTGCCCCTGAGCCCTGATGCCTCTGGGCGGACAGGGCTGGGGCACAGAGAGAGGCATGCTGGGAGTGGGGCCAGCAGACAGGCTGGCGGGTGGCTGGGAGTTCCTCCTGCTCAGGGTCACCTCACTGGACAGAAACATCCTGCGTGACCTGGTCAGCCCCAGGCAGGGGTCACTGTCGGGCAGAAGCCTGGGACCTGGACTTTCCCCACCAACAGCTGCAGCCCAGCTGGGAGTGGCTGCGGGCCAGAGGAAGTGTCTCTGGCCTTGCCTTCCGTCAGGCATAGGTCCTGTGGACGCGCACGCTGACCCGGGGAACTGACCGGGGGCTGCTGGGAAGGGGGTCTTTGAGTTTGGTTCCAGATATGTGAGCCCCACCCTGGGTTTGGGGTTTGGTTGGATGTGGACAGGACTGGGAGAGTTTGTGGCTTGGAGAGGCCCGCTCTGGCCAGGAACCCTGCTGAACACCCCCCCAGCTGACGCCCAGCTTTCTCCAGTGAGCCTGCCCCTCCAGTCACACCTCAAGCCTGCCCTTCAGGGCTCCGAGGTCCCCATGTTCCTGCTGCTGCAAGGTTGGGGGTCCAGAGGTCTTTCAGTTCAGTCCGTTGTGTGGCCACGGCGAAGTAGCCTAACAGGCCTGACCTTCAGATTCTCCGTGGGGCACTGGGAGTCATGATAAACCAGCTTCTTGGAGTTGTGGCCAGTATACAGCACACAGTAGGCCCTCAACCAGTTCGCATTTAGAGGACTTAACCAGGACCTGGCACTCCATACATTTAGTTAAACAAATGATAGCAGCGATTTTCCAAGGAGCCTGAGTTGAAAGTTTCTAGGATGTTTTGGGCTATGGTTCCAAGCTCTGAGCATCCACCACTTGGGGATTCTGGGTTTCTGAGTGGCTGGTCAAGGCCAGTGCGGGCCTCCCGGCTCCTCCCCACACCTTACCCTGAGGAGCAAGCCCCCTGTCCTTAAAGGGAAAGAGACTGAGC